AATGATTGATAAATCGTGTATTGAAATTGGAGAGTGTAAATTGAGGTAAAAGTGGTGCATTCGGTGATATGGTGCACTCGGTGTTAAACCACGTTATATGTTTTCCAATTATTTTCTTTTTTATATTATATAATCTTTTGATTTCGCTTTTTATTTTTAAATTATAATCCTCTAATTATATATCTTTAATTCGCTTTTTTAGAATAATTACCTTAAGGTTCTTAATAATAATTTTAATAAATTCCTTAGTTATTAGATATAATAATATATTACGATTTGAGTTTAAATTATAAGTAAAATTAATTTATTATATATATTGCTTTTATTTAATAATTAGACTTTGTAAATTGATATCAGAATAAAATGTAAAATAATTATTTTAAGAAACTTGATTATTTGAATATTCAAATATTTCTTTTTTTAATTAAAGTAATATATTTTATTTAAATTAAAATAAAAATAACAAATTAAAAGACAATAAAAAATATTTATAATTCAAAATATTAATTAAAATATATTTTATTATATAAAATGTAAAGTTATTCTTGAATTCTATATATTATATGATTTTCCTTAATAAATAATTTAATACTTGAATAATGAATATTTTAGTGTTATGAGATATATTTATTAATTAATTGTTTTAGAATAAAGATTTATTTAAAATGCTCTTCTTGAATTATATATTGATATACTTTATAGAATAAATACTTAAATTATATAGTTTCTCAATATTATTTATTATTATTAAAATATTATTGATAAAAGCTAGAATAAGAAATAATATAATTGAATATATACATTTAGATATTAAATTTTTAAATAATTATTGTTTATAATTAAAGAATATATTAGAAAATATACTTTAAAAAAATCTTATTTTTATCTTTTTTTATTATTCTACCTATTTTTTCTAAGATTAAATATAAATAAAATATTTATTAATAAATAATTATTATTCAGATTTTACAATAAAATAAGTTTTATATTCTTCAAATAAAATTAGTTAGTAATATTCTTTTCAAAATTATATTTTATTATATTTTATATTATATAACTTAATTAGTTAACGTGGTTTATCATCGAGTGGATCATATCATCAAATAAATCACTTTTATCTCAATTTATCACTTTAAACTTATATTATTCAATAATAATTAAATCAATTGATTAAAATTATTAAGATTCTAATCATCTAGAATTTATTATATTATTTTAATAGATTCTTATATTATAATCTGTCTTTTTGTATTTATTATAATATCAATTAGAAAATACTTCTCTATTAGAATTCCCTTCTTTTTGATACTCAATATATTAAATTTAAATATCAATTTTTTATTAAAATAATATATTTATAGCTTTTTATTTAATAAATATTTTTTCTTACTATAATTAAAATTTTTTTGTGCATTAATGTTTACTTAACATTTTATTTGTTTTTTAAAATATATAGATTTTTATATTTAAAAGTATATTCTTATAAGCTAATCGTTTTATATTTTTAATTAAAATTAATATAATTTCAAATATAAATATAAAAAAGCTTAATTAATAATAATTTATTTAAAATTTAATTAATATTAATTAAGAAAAAGTTTTTATAGAATTATAAGAAATTTGAAAAATCTAAAGATTTAAATTAATAAAAGGAGGAAAAATAGATATATATATTTAAATATCTAATTTTGAGATTACTATCTTAGAATCAAAAGATATTAATTTTATTTCTTGAAACCCTGATTTTATATTTTGATTTGTAATTGATTATTAATATATAATTTTGAAAGTTATAAAGAATTCAATCTTTAAAATATAATTAATATATACCCTTATAAATCCTTTAATTTGAGTATTATATTCTTATTTTAATTTATTAAAATATTTGATATTAAATAGTTGAATTAAATGATTTGAATATAATAATAGATATATATATATAATATTATTCTCCTTATAATATAACTAAAAAGCTATGGATTTGTGATTTTTATATTCATTTAATATTAACATTCAATATTTGCTTACTTTATAATCCCTTATATATTTATTAAAATATTTTAATTATTCCAATTCTATCTTATTATTTATTCATTTATTATTGATAGATTTAATAATCTAATCTATAGGAAAATTGGTTTCTATATATTAATTGAAGAAATGCATTTATTCTTAAACCACCAGAAATAAAGATATAATTTCCTCTACATTATTATTATATATAATCGCTATTGCCTATTTCTTATTATTTAATTATATTACTTTATTTCTATTATTTCTTTTAATATTAATAACTATTATATTAATGATTATAACTTTTATTATAAAGTTTGTTTTATTGAAATTCTATATATTGTAATTTAGTATATTATATTTCACTTATATATTTGATATAAAATAAAATCATTTTTGAAAAAACTTAGAATCCTTGTATAAAGCTCTTTGAAAATTATAAATATAATTAAAATATATTTTTAATTCTTTATAATACTTTACAAATTAATATGCTTAAAGCTTTCTAATTGCTTTTCTATTTTTCAATTTAAGAATATAATTCACTATATCTTTTATCCTTTTGAATTTAAATAGAAAATCTTTTAAATTTATATTAAAAATATATTAAATAATAATATTCTTTTTTAATTCTATAAGTTTATATTAATTCATTTAAATTCCAGTATATAAAATTAAATTATTTATTTTATAATATAATATTGTAAATAGTATATTATATATTTTAGCAGATTGTTATATATTAAGTTTTTTATTTTTTTGAATAATTTTAATAATTAGAAGTATTCAAGCTTTTTTGATAATTGATTTCACAATAATTGATTAATAAAATATGTATTAAATTGATATATAAAAAATTGAGGTGAAAGTAATTTATTTAATGATATAATTTACTCGATAATAAACTACGTTATATAATAAGTATGTAACTTAATAACTATATTTAAACATAATATTATGTATATAAGTATTTGTTGGTATCACCATGGGGATGATGAAGATAATATAGTACTATGGTTCACACTATTATAATATTGATTGAGGTTCTAAAAGCTAGGGCTACGATACGTCTATACTTAAGTGCCGAGGCACTAGCGCAAGCGCTAGTGCGGTCACATGATCCCTGTCCCGACAGTATTAAAATCAATAAAATAATCTAAGCTCTAATTCATTTATATAGAAAATTAAAAGAGTTATTTATTTAAAGATAGTTAATTATATTCTTCAAATCATTAAGATTAGTAATAGGCTTCAAATGGGTTTTAATATTTAAATTCAGGTTTTTTATTAAATTAATCTTTATAAATTAGTAAATATTAATAAAATAATAATCTGAAATATAATTTAATTTAATTTATAGTATAAAGCTTTTATATTAAATTTAACTTTGTATTATATTTTTATTTATATATTGATTTGAAGTGGATTATATATTGAATTAATATTTTTATTAAAAAGTATTTATTTAATAAATTTATTTGTTTTTTTTTAAATATAGTAAAAAATTCTTTAAGAATTCTGATGATTAGTTTTATATTTATATTATTAAATTATATAAAATAACTTGATATAAAATATTAATAAATAACTTTAAAAAGGATTAATATGTATAATCTATTTTTTTAAAAGTTTTTAGATTATATTATAATTATATAATATTAAAGAAATAAATAATAATAATACTTTTTTAAAGTTTTTAATTTTAATATTTATAAATATATTCTTAAATGAAAAAGCATATATTATTTTTATAATATTATTTGAAAAAGAGAATAAGAATAATTAAAGAAAATTTTATTAAGAAGAATTGATATAATATTATAGTATAATGAAAATTATAAATTCAAAAACGAAAAAAAGAAAAAAAGAAAAGAGAAATATTTAAATAAATATAATATATAGGATACTATATTAAAAATTCCAATCTTTAATATAATTAGAATAGAAAGTAGTTGATTATTATTTTATTTAAAAAAACTGAATTCTATTTTCAGATCCTAAATTATATCAAAAAAAAATGTTTTTACAAAGTTTGTAATACAAAAATAAAAATATAATATATTTGTTTACAGAAAATGATTTATAAAAAAGGATTTTAAAAATAATGATTATTAGAAATACATCTACTTTTTTATTGATATTCAGATGTCAAAAAACAAGCTTATGGTTTAATAGTATAATATTCCCTTACTATGAGAGAGGTCCGGTGTTCGAGTCGCCGCTAATCCATTCAAATTTGTCATGCGTGATATCCTCTATGTTTTTTTTGTTCTTCTTGTTAATTGGAAGTCTTGAGTTCGAGGAGGTTGACTTTTTTTTTCGATAACCCAAAGAGAAACCGTGCTCAGAAATCACGTGTGAGTGACCTCACAATCGACCATTGCCGCCACAAGGTCATTTCGAATTGAAGAGAGTTTCGAATGTATTCAGGTATTTGAAGAGCTTAGAAAAGAGACCATCATATTTTCATGGTTTATTATAGCATTTATGATATACCGGATTGAATACCGGTTTCGGCTTGTTAATTTACCAAAAAGGAGGATGGCAACGTGTGAAAATGCACATTATCGGCATCAGAATCATCGTTTGAGGAAGGCAAGACCCAAGAGACCGGACAAGTGATCGATCGAAGAGCAAGTGCTTCAATCTATGAGTGTCTAATGTGAACATCTGTACATTAAAGTCTTTCTTCAAACAATTGACTGTTAGAGTCTCATCTTAATGCCCTGACCTTTCACAAGGTTTCCTGAAAAAGGGCGTAGCTCCTCATCATATCTGAGTAGTCTCTGAATATATAACACTGCTCTCATTCCCATATCTATCTACTCCTTCTTTCGCACTTTTCCAGTCAAATTTGACATTATCAATTTACAGCCTTGCATTCTAAAGATCGCATTCGTCGCCCTTTTCCACACACACTTCAAAGTTGTCAATTGCTTATTGGCCAGAATCTCAAGCCACATCGCCCTCTTTACTGTCAAAAAAAGATGCCTTATCATTCTCAACAAGATTCTTTCGTATACGAGGTGCCTATCTCCGACCAAACGTGGCAACTGTCCCCTGGCGAAGAGTTCTACATTGGTGAAATCGAGAGCAACATGATCATCAACCCTGTCTTTGATGCAGAGCTTATAACGAACCGGCAAATGCCTCATCCTGATCAAGTCCACTTGGGCGAAGAACCTGTCATGGAACACACCGAATTTACATTCCATGCAGAGCTTACGGCACGTCGCTGGCCGGTACCTACAGCCAACGATTCTATGCAAGCCCCTTTGAATGAAGGATTCCTCAGCGAAGCTCCCTCGACCCACCACTTCTTACAACGCCCTTTCAGTATGGCGAGCCAAGCCAATCAAGCCATATATCCAGCTCTCGACCAATCTCCGTACTACCCTACATGGGAACAGAGAGGGGCCGGAGATGTTGGGTGAGTTTTTTTAAAAAAAAATCTTTTTACTAATGCACGGACCCCAAGTTCACTGGCTCCTGCCTATGATCTACAGAGCACTGCGGCTCTCCCATCGGCTGTCTCAGATCCTCTGCCTTCAAGTGACGCAACGCGATGGTTACTACCACCACCGTGCCGCCTTCCATCACCGCGCCAGCTCATCCACTCACCGGTCGTTATCCCTGTTCCAATGCCAATTGCGCTAAGGACTTCGGGCGCACATCCGATCGTCTTCGACACATCTCATCAGTTCATCAACGGGGTCAGACATATCAAGGGAAGAACCTCTGCCCTATTGTTGGATGCCGTCGAAGCTATGGGAGAGGACTTTGTCGTCCAGAAAAAGTTAATGATCATTTGAGAAAGGTTCACGGTCTTGCTGGAGTTGCTTCAAATGGTGCTTCTGCTTCTGCCGGCCCTTCTGCATATGGTACTGGTGACGGCTCCAATGTCGCTGGCGGTGCTGCTGCTTTGACCGGAAATGGGAATTGATAACAGGAGGGCTCACTAAGGAGTGACTTTTGATTTGAAACAGATAACCGCAGTGTTGTTATTTCATTGGACTCGAAGAGTTGGATAAGACATATGAGGTTTTTTTCCTTGGCGATGCTTCACTTGGATTTACGGCATCTAGTAACGGTAGATAGCTTTTCATACTAAATACGAATCATTCCGGTGCTCTACAATTTTTCCCAACACTCCTTTTCTCAGTCCTATCCCTTTAAAGCTCTCAATAGCTCAGATTGCAGCCTCGAAACGATTCTATCCACTTGACTCTTTGCATATGGCTTTAACCGATTTCCCCACTATGTGCATGTCCCTACTACGTGCACGACTTTGAAAATATCAATATTATAGCTTCAAACATTGATGATATGCCTTTAGAAACTTGTATAAAGCTTGTATTAGATCATTTGAAAGAGGTTCAAGCTCCTAAATACACTCAGACAGCTAATTTCTTCCAAATTGATCGATTCACACTTTCCTAATAATATAAAGATAAAACTATTTCAAGAAAACAATTCCTTTTTAATATAAAACAAGTATTTTCTAATAATTAAAAAAAGATTTTAATTAATTAAATCAATAAACTAACATAAAAATCTATCCCTCCTACAAACTATATAATCAGAAATCTTATAAAAAAGATTCTAAACAAAGAGATAAAAAAGAATTGAATTAATAATTTTGTTAAAAGGTATTCAATATATCTTAAAAGTCGATATCTTTATTGTATTAATAATTTGTATATGAAAACCAATAATATTGTTATATTTAATTATTTTTATAATTTGGTTTGAGCTATTTTTTATTATTATTGATTTTTATTATCTAAAATGCTCTTACTAATATCTTTCTTTTTTTAATTTAGTTAATAAAAGTGATTATAAAATACAATATACAACTAAGAGATATATATAATTAGAATAAGAAAGGCTTTATGATTGGTATAAGGAGAACTATAAAAAGGATAATAAATACTAGCACTTATAATAAAGGTAAAATAATAAAAGCTAGACAAAATGAATTAAGAGAGTTTATTATTCTACTAGCAGCTATATATACTAATAGAATAACTCTCCTTCCTATTCTTATTTATAAAGGAGATTCAGGAGATCTATAAAATATATAGATTTAGAATATAGGGGAAAAGAATAAAGCCTATTTTGGAGTTTTAAGTAATAGATAGTCATCAAATGCTTTTAGCCTATATTAGCTTATAAACATATTCGATTCTACTATACATCGAAAAACAAATAGAAGATATCATTTACTTATTATTAATAATCACTTTAGTTATATTAATATAGAATTCCTTTCAAAATATAATAAATTAAAGATTATTATCTTAATTCTTCTCTCTTATTCTATATATCAATTACAACCTCTCAATATTAAAACCTTCAATACTTTTTTAATAAATTACAATATATTATTAAATAATTTAATATATAATAATAAGGGAATTGTTAGTATAACAAAATATATATTTTGGAGTATATTTAAAAAGATTTGGAAGTTTATTTATATAAGATATAATATCTTATAATCCTTTGAAAAAACGAGCATATATCCTATAAATAAAAATCTTATAATTAATTATATTACTCCAGAAGCTCCTTTTATATTATCTATATTATTTAAAACTCACAGGGGTATTCTTATTATATTGTATATATCAAAAGCAATATATAAAATGAAATTAGAATTTTATTATACTTCTATCTATAAGATTATTTTAAAGCTTTTTAAAACTATAATTATATTAGGAATTGAAGCTTTTATATAGGGATATAGATCTAAAGATTTAGAAGAAATTCTAAAACTTAAAAAAAGGAAAAGAGTTTATTTAAAGTGTTTAAATCTTATTAGAGAGAAAGGGAATAATACATTTTTATAGTTACCCTCTACTATTATTAAAACTAAAATATATCAAGAAAATAAAATATTTAAAGAGAAACAAGAAAAGAAAGCTAAACTTTAAATAAAAGCTGAAAAGAAAGCTGAAAAGGAATAAAAGGAGATTGAAATGAAAAAAAAAGTATTACAAAGGAAGATTGATTATTAGATTATATATAATACAAAAGAGGAGGTTAAAAAGTCTCTAAAATCAATGAAATCTTTAATCAAAAGAGATAAAAAGTTCCCCAAAGCTTTTTCTATTATAAATCTAATATCAATAAAGATTATAGAGCTTTCTGATACTATAGAGACTAATAATTTGAAGGAGAAGGAGATTATATTGCAATCTAGTAAAGGGTAAGCACTATGAGTTTCATCGAAATTCAAAATCTGAAGATTTTATTATATTTTTAGATAGTATTATATCTTGTTATTTATTAGTTAAATTGCTAGCTCTTTATCTTATAAATTAGAATTGTTATTAATTTTTAAAATGATTCAAAATGGGTGATCAAGATTGTGCATATAGCAGGGATGTGCACATAGTAGGGAAATCGGTTATTTCTTATTCCCTTTCAATATTGAGAGATAATTAAGAAATTGCCGCTGCTTCAGGTGTCAACTCCAGTTAGGGCCTTTCAATCAACTGAAGTCTAGTACGATATGAACTATTGAAACTTGATAGTATGCTTGAGATGCACCGATAATAGTCCGAAAGATCAGATCCGTTTGGGCTATACATGGAAACACGCGTGATCTCGGATTCTCTTTTGTTGCACACCTACTAGAACATTTCCGAGTATATAACACCCTCTTTCTTCATATCTCAATCTCTTGTCTTGAGTCCTTGGCACGTGACCAGTCAGCAAAATTTCCTAGCTGTTGTACCCCCGCTCACTCACTTGCATTTAGGGTGGTAACCACGCTGCCGTGTAACAATCCTCCACCAATACGGCGTCGCCATGTTTTACTCTCGCTTGTATTCCGTGGCGATTGCTACAAATTTGATGAACTTGTTCCCTTTGTTTTCTTTACCAGGGCAGAATATGGGTATTGAAACCAAGCATTCATTCATGATTCTGTTTACCTCGAAATTTTTTAGTCCAAAAATACTTTATATTTTGCAACTGCCGAACATAGTAAGTTGAGAGAACAAGGGTGAGTTGCTCAAACCCTTATCTGAAGATTACAGTGTAGTATTCGTTCAAGTCTCCACCCCCCCAAAATAGTATAACTGGTGTCAATCACTGCGAATTACTTTACATTTTGCTTGGGTATCTCTCAACAAAACAACCCTTTCTTATACACGTTCTAGTATCGTGACTCTATCACCGCCTGGGTCGAGCTCATATTGCCGAGCGATTCTGGACTTACAAATTCCAAGACATATCGGGCACCACTGATTAACAGCAGATTTCCATCCTTCAAAGCACTATCTCGGGAAGATGGCTTCCAAGTATGCAGTTGCGGGTGAGCGGTACACCGGGGGGAATAGTGAACCTACAGATAGTGACGACGATGACGCAATGGCTCGCACAGCCGCCAATATTGAAGATGAACTTGGGGATGAGGACGAGGACCCAAATCCTGGGGATGAAGTATTGTGGTTGGGGAAGTACAAAGGGCACAAATATGATGAACTATCTTTTTCATACATAGAATGGATGATAAAAAAGTATCTGGAGAACCCAGACACTGCTTGGCCCAATGTGTGTTTTCACCTCAGAATCTATAAATCAGGACTAACGATCAACCATTTAGATCAAGGACTTCAAGTCGTTATACGATCGGAAGCAGGTCTGGATTGAAAAAAATTCGTCTGAACTCCCACCTCCCGGCAAGACAATCATGTGGTTTGGCCAGCATAAAGGCATTGCTTTCGACAAATTGGAAGATGGATATCTGATGAGCCTCGTCAACTTTTATTACAGAGACGGAGACAAAGCAATCCCAAACGTAAGATACATCCCGTTGCTGAAAACAATGAATTGTCAGCCAACATTACAATTAGATACGAAAATTCAAGGAATTAAAAGATACGTACGATTCACGGCTCATTTTAAAAAAGATGCGCACAAGTAAAAGTCCAGGATCAATTCCGATTTGGTTTGGGGAGGACAAGGGTAGAGAGTTTCGAAAAATATATGACTCTCAGCCTCGCCAGTGGAGAAAGCGCCTCAAAATTTGCCGATGGGCCCCAATACTCAAAGCCATTGCTCGTGAATATGAGGAATGTAAGTTGAGTAGACCGCCACGAAAACAAGCTGCTTCGCGGAATAAACCGGTGATTGTCAATCCAGTTGGCGAGAGACTAGGGCCGGCTGACGATGGAGTCGCTTCAGATGATGAGTCTTATATATCCGACGGTGGCTTCGTAGTTCAAGATGAAGATGAAAGCTCCGACGCGGATGAAAGCTCCGATGAGGATGAAACAAGGGAGTTGGACTATGACGAGGAATTCGAGGAAACCGAGGAAGTCGACGAATCAACCACAACTGTAGATTGCGAGGTCAATAAAAACACATCCCCAGATCTCGATAGCAGCGAAAGCGATACGTCGGAAGAAGTGCTACCAGGAACACCGAGTGTTTCAAGGTCTTCCAAGCGAAAACCGTTAGAAATTTCTGATGACTTTGCTTCTTTATCCGACAGCGGTGAAGAGTCGGAAGCAATCGTCTCTCCTACTAAGCGTAGAATGACACGTAGCCTTTTCAGTCCCCGAAAGAGGGTAGTTCTTCTGCTTGAGAGCGATAGCGACGACTAACCAGCCTCACTCTCCGAAACAGACAAAGGCTACGATTGAAGGTTCGGAAAATGGTATCCTTAACGGCTGGTAACCCAAGAGACGAATTTTGATTACAAACCGAGATATGTCACTCACCCATCTTCAAATGCAACAAGAAATCAGAAGGGTGATTCAAGTATTTCAGATCCAGATGACCCATTACTGCTTCCCAGTGTGAGAGACTACCAAGGATAAATCTAATCTTGGTTTTTAAGCGTATTAAAGTTCCAAAGCGAACCAGAGATGCAGAGACCATTCTGCTAGCACAATCAAAGGAAAAGTTGCAAACAAGCAAGCTAAGAGAAAAGGGCAGAAGGCATGATTGAAAGGCATGTAGAATGCTATCTCATCTTGACTTTAAGAATTGGGACATTACATGGTGCACTGCAATGAAATATTAGAACAATCGCGTTTAGGATATAAATCGTGACGGGATCAAACTGTAGCAGGGGTTTTCTGTTTTGCGTGTGTGATAATTGCAGTCATAATGGTGAGAGACCAGCCGTTTCCACATATAGAAGGATATTCGGAAATGGACTTAACAATTAAGCAATTCGCAATGTAACAGAATATAAGCCTTTTCTCTCTTCTTGGCAAATAAATCAAATCCGCCATCATCATGGCCGTACCTAGGTTTACTGACAGGTGTAGCTCAACTCCCTTTTGCCAGTTCAAAAAGTAAAAGTTCATACAAAGTCTGAACATACATCATCAATCAACAGATTATTTTCTGCCCAAAGCGGTGAAATACTACAATCCCTATGGATCAAGACGGTGTGTGCGACAATTTGTAGATAACGAACAAACACAATGATCAATTAACAACATAAAGGAGCGAAAAACCATAGTATGGATCGAAATAAATCACCAACCAGATGCCCAGAAAACAAAATCGCTCATGTTTCTCCGTGCATTTCGGAATGTAGCAGCTGAACCTTGCCTACGCACTCGCAGTCTCCAACTTCACATTCGATTCTCAAGCAGTATGGCTTCCAAAGGTCGTAGCTACCAGGATGCGATCGTACTACTGGATACCTTACAATCCAATCGAACGATTGTATCCTCCATATCGAGTACCTCAAAAGATATGAACCTGTATGCTATACCAGAAATGCTCGAATGGACGCGCAAAGCGGGGTACGACACGCAGGATTTCTCGAGACGTGGACTGAAATGTATACACGTAGCTGGAACAAAAGGGAAGGGAAGTGTGTGCGCTATGGTAGATAACATTCTGCGACAGTACCGCAGCGAAGAAAGTGAGATTGGAGTCGTGCCAGGGAGTACTAAAAGAAAGGCTTTGGGGAAGATTGGGCTATACACCTCACCACACCTGATGTCAGTACGTGAAAGAATACGAATAGATGGCCTTCCCATATCCGAACCCCTGTTTGCGCGGTATTTCTTCGAGCTTTGGGATCGATTCTCTGACGCCGCTTCCACATCTGCTACCCCGCATCCGAACCCTACGTCCCCTGAGACCAAGCCAGGGTATTTTCGATATCTGACAATCATGGCGCTACATACATTTATGGAGGAAGGAGTGGAAACCGCTATCATGGAATGCGGTATTGGGGGCGAATACGATAGCACCAATATACTGCCTGCTGAAGCAGTTACTACCACCACGATCACGAAACTCGGCATCGATCACGTCGGAATGCTAGGAAACACAATTGATAAGATTGCTTGGCACAAAGCTGGCATCATGAAAAGAGGTATCCCATCATTCACAGTTCCCCAGCTTCAGGAAGCACAATCTGTTCTAGAGAGCCGCGCCAAGGAGAAAGGTGTCAAATTAGAGGTTGTGAATCGATGTGCGAGATTCGACGATGGAACTATTTTATTAGGCGCCGAAGGAGAGTTTCAGAAGGACAATGCGAGTCTAGCAATGGCTGTTTCGGCATCACATTTGCGAGATCTATGTATTCAAGACGTACCTACTCCTTCTGCATTACTATCCCTCCAAGAGCCGATTCCAGATAAATTTCTCGAAGGATTGAAGACAATCAAATGGGCCGGTAGGTGTGAAGTTGTAGTCACTGGCAAAATCACATGGCTCATCGATGGTGCCCACACAGTCGACAGTATCAAGGAGACTGGCCTTTGGTACGCTTCAAAACTTATCCAAGCTAGCGCGGAGGGAACTCTCCCATCAAAAACTATGTTGATATTTAATCAACAAGAACGCGATCCAGACCCTCTTATGCGAACATTACTTGCGAGTATTACCATTTATTTCAAAGCGTTTACATTTGCTGCCTTTTGTACCAATACCCCCTTTAAGAGCGAAGCAAGTGAAAAAGAGATCAATGATCTCACCCAACAGAAATTGGCGTCCAAACTTTATTCGAGTTTGGATCGTAATCCAATGTGTGTGGAATACGCAAGTATTGAAGAAGCTGTAGAGCTTGCGCATAGAGCATCTGAAGATGAAGAAAGATTTTTCGTCCTGGTCACTGGAAGTTTGCATCTCGTCGGTGGTCTTATGAAGGTTCTTGAACAACAAAGTAAGAAAGAGCGAAAAATCTAGAAGCTCTCTCAATGCTGAATAGAATATTACTGGAGTTTGTTTTGATACCCGTTCTTGATATAGAAATTCAAGAAATGCGCTTACAGTAGGAAATCTATGGTTTCAATATGTTCATGGAATTAGTTGGGTATACTGTTTGATCTGGATTTGAATGCTAGACCTTGGGTTCACGACGAGAAACCGAACTATATGTAGGTAGTTCTAGAGACATTATGCCCTGATGATTAAAACATTTTTAAATTAATATATTGGTTGAACAATATCGTACACATCATACAAATTTGTGAATCATGTTATCCCTTTCTCCTTTCCCTTTTAGATTTTAACGTTGAGGTACAGCTCGGTTCTTCGTTTTAACCGTTTTATTTTACCACCTTCGATTCTTTACAGGGCATCCACCGATTCCAAACTTCCCAGCGCTCTTCCAACCAAATGCACACTCCCCGTAATTAGAGCTTGAGCATGTACTTCATCCGTAGCCAAACCTCGGACGTATTCAAACGCATCTTCCACGCTTGGAAGAACTTGTACATCGGTTTCAAGGTTAAAATTAAGCGAGCGCCATTTTTCAGCAAAGGCTTTTTGCATCGTGAGTTCGGATATCGATTTAGGGTCGTAGGAAAGGTTGACAAAATCTAATGACGTCAGTATGTACCTGGGTAGTGCTGGTGATGAATGATTACCTTTCTTGGATGCATTTTCTTTTTGAATGGATGTTGTGCAGAATAATACATGGTCGAATTTTACGGATCCTTGAATTGCGCTATGAAGTCCTTCAAGTAATCCAATTGCTTCACGATGACCTTGCTGATTGAAAATCAGAACTCGTGGGCCGTGCCTGGACAAGGTCAATTCCATGAACTCAATATCAAGTGATGAAACTTACTCCTTTGCGACCTCGTCACCAAACCATTTTGCTGCGACAATGATACTATCTGCAGTATGTGCGCCATCCAAATACCAGGTCACATTTCCGTCAACCTTTGTTTCGCATCTTCCACGCCAGACTACTTGCTCCAAAGCGTCTACGAATTCTTGGGGTAGAGAATCCGAGGATGCACTGAATTTGGGGTCCAGTTTGTTTAAAACTGTTTCAGCCAGACAAATGGCAAGACTTGCGTTCCCCCTCTGAAAATCTGCAGCGGGTTTTATTTTCACCGTCGTCAGTCTTGGATCTAACTCGACTACTTTGAAAGACTTTACTCCCTTTTCCACAGCCCTCTTCTCTACTACTTCCATCGCTTCTGTCTTTTGATTCACTGTAAATGATGGCACTCCTGGCTTCTGAATTCCAGCTTTGTGCCATGCAATTTTATCAATCGTGTCTCCTAATGTAAACACATGATCAATCCCTAACGATGATATACCCGTCACCGCAGGTCGATCTACAATATTTGTCGAATCATATTCGCCTCCAACTCCAACTTCATAGATGGCAGCATCGACACCTTCTTGGAGGAAAACGTGATAAGACATTAAATTCAGGTATCTGAAATAGACAGGCTTCTCAAACGGTTCGCTCGAGGATGCCGCAGCTGCTTCCAGACGATCCCATACCTCAAAGAAGTATTTTGCAAACATAGGAGCTGATATAGGTGCTGAATTGATTCGGATTCTTTCCCGGACAGCAATGAGATGAGGTGATGTGAAAAGTCCAACCTTTTGAGGAAGATCATGTGACTTTCTGTACCGATTCAATATAGAGTCAACATAGGCGCACGTAGACCCTTTTCCTTTGGTGCCGGCAACATGGACAATATTCAATCGTTCGAGATCATCTTGCTGGACATGAGTCAGCAACGGAAAAATAGAAAGGGAGGTAAAAGAATACGGTATATCCAATTCGAGTCAGATGCTGTTTCATTTCCCGATTAGCTCCTTCATCGAGTTTGATCCCAGCTTCCCATCGTTTCTTGAGAACTTCGTATGGTGTCTGAAGTGTATTCAAGGCATTGATAGCATCCTAATTGGTGGTGAGAAAAGAAGTCATGTATGTTGCAATTTTTTGACAAAACGAACGTCATAGGTCCTTTCTCCCATTGTAGCAATAAATCTTCGGGAATCTGAAGCGCATTTATCGAAGCGGAGGTTTATAAAAGTATGTCTTAAAGATCGGAGAGATGATCCAGAGAAAGAAGACCACATCACATGTCATATATAAATCTTTGTTGAGAGTTTGAAGATACAAATTTCGAGAAATATGCAACACTGTTTTGCTTTGTCATCCAGCGGTGATCGCTAATATGTTAAAGCGGCGCATAATCATCAACAATCTCTCCCATTTTTCCATTGCTGTTATTGTAGAATTCTTATCTAAACGTCGCATTTCATGACAAACGCATGGCTTTATCGTGAACAACGACCAGAGATGACAGTTCCAGGTGAAGAAATAATGCCATCATAGTTTTTACCGCTTCCGCTTCAGCTCCTACTGGTCACAGTAATTTTCATGTTGGGAAACAAGCGCTCTGACAGACCAATATTTAGGCAATTTTAAGGTTTTGCCGTCAATTGATGGGATACGACGCAGCGCAGAAGTGGGGTGAAAGTAGTGGCCGGGCTGGTGGTGTGCTTGCAAGGGAGATAGGTAGAAGTGTATTTACAATGTAGCTTATCACCGCCACTTCTGCTCAATATACCTACTAATTGTTCATGAGATATGGCGCCAAGTATATCTCAAAGTGATAATACATCACAGATCAATGGCGATGGACCTCAGAGATTCTCCATTGACGATGTTGTACTTGAGAAGGGTATGCTGGAGGAGGCGGCAAATGAGCAGGTAGTTGTGAAGGTCGAAACTCGATTTTCGGAAAAGGAGGTGACGATACGACAAGTAGCCCCTATGGTTATCGTCTTAACAGGGGCAACGTTTCTTGTTGTAAGTACCAAATTTATGGATTTTTGAAAGTAAATCTAATGTTTGCCAGACAATTGCTGCTCAGGCTGTCATCATTATTTTACCCGAAATCTCTCGAGATCTTGATATTCCTCAAATTCGGCAACAATGGGTGCTATCTTCTTATGCATTGACTTCTGGCTCATTCTTACTCCTATGGGGCAAGCTGGGAGACGTGTATGGCAGGAAATTGCTATTTATCATAGGTGCACTTTTCACGTCTGCAACTTGTATAGCGACGGCCTTTTCGCCCGTTGAGATTTGTTTGTATGTGATGCGGGCTTTGCACGGACTCGCATCCGCTATCACGATCCCTACAGCGATTGGCATTATAGGGCATACCATCCCACCTGGTCGAGTGAAAAACTATAGCTTCGCATTTTACTCTGGCGGAGCACCAATGGGCCAAGTGCTTGGCAATCTCATGGTGTGTATTTTCTAATGTTGAAAATAAACTGGCAGATCTAATTCATCATTTAGGGTGGGATCATCTCCCAATGGGCGAGTTGGAAAGTTGTCTTCTTTGTGATAGCTGGTGCTTCTCTTACTATTGCTGTGAGTGCGATTTTTGTGGTTCCAAAGGAGCCACCTAAAGGTAATGAAGAAGATACAGCGCGCGCTTCGGGAGTAGACTGGATTGGGGCTTTCCTATTCACTGCTGGTCTACTGCTACTACTCGTAGGCTTATCTCAGGGAGGCTCGTCTGGATGGCAGGAAGCTTCAGTCATTGCAATCATAGTCGTATCCGGCTGTTTACTAATAGGATTTGTTCTATGGGAACACTATCGGGAGACCAAAACCACAAAGGAACCATTGATGAAAATATCGACGTTTCGTCACAAGCAATTCTCGATTGCTATGATCATCATCACCTTATTCTCATCCGGTTTCACGAACTTTTGTCTCTACACAACTTACTAGTATGTCCTAATCCATCCCCAGTTGCGCAATTTCAGGAGCTAATTTGGATTCAGCTACCAAGACTTTAAACTTCTTGATCCTTTACAAACTGCACTTCGGTACATCCCACTGGGAGTAGTTGGTAGTAAGCTCTGCAGATCTTCTTTTTCAAGAGATAATTCTAACTTTTGATTACTTTACAGTTCTTACCACCTTCGGATCCGGGTATTTACTCGCTCGAATCAATGGCAATTACATTCTCAGTTTTGGCCTTGGCTCGGCTATGATTGCAAATCTTCTGTTTGCCGTACCGATACCTCCCAGCACATCATACTTCGCCTTTGGATTGCCGGCAATGTCACTTGCAGCATTCGGTGCTGATACAGTCTATCCATGCCTCGGTCTATTCACAACCCAGTCACTTCCTCGAAAGGACCAATCAGTCGCAGGAGCCATGTTTCAGACTATGGCAGCCATTGGGCGATCTATGCCACTACCTATTACATCAGCAATTCAGCAATCTGTACAGTCAAAAGAATTGAACAAAGGGGCGACCGAGATGCTAGCATTCTTGGCGGGATTGAGGGCTGTGGAATGGTTCTGCGTAGGTTGTATGGCAGCATCATTGGCTATGACTATAATTGGGCTCAGAAGTATTGGGAAGATTGGAATGTTAAAGAAACTAGGAGTTGCTAGGGATGCGAAGGAAGACGTGTAAAACTCGTGCAACCATGGGCTATAGATCATATAATAGTATATATAAACATTGATGATAATTAGATATAAATCCAATCATCAGATTTGACAGAGTATCGCCTAATCTCGAAGTCTTGCTACTTGCTAACACCGACTTGTGCGATTCAATCGTCGGATGCCTTGAAGTATCCATGCCGCAATTCTCATCCTAAATCCAACCTGAACTTTTCAATTAGACGATGGAATACTACTGGAATCATAAAAAACTAATTTCGGTACAGTCATACGCCGGGATAGGACTGTACTGCTGTAGCCACAAGCGAGGCATTAGCCCTTTAGCTCGGGCCCTAATTTTAGTGGTAGCGCTGTACAAGATTTGATTGACTGTAGATTGACAGCTGACGTGCTCACAATCTCAAATCTAAATCTAACAATAGGTTTTCAAGAAAAATACTCTATCTTGGTGAAAAGCTCTAAACATTGAGAAAATTTTGTCAAGAAGTCGTGTAATGAAAGAATAAAACTTAACACAACTCTCAGCTAATATCAACAGTCGCCTCTTCAAGCTGCCGTAGTGTCTAAAACGCTGGAAAGACTTCTCTCGTACTAGATCTCGTTCGCATTCTCTACTTTAGCTAGACGGCCTAAACTCCCTATTGAAATTCGTTACTTGCGTTAGACCTCGTTAACCCCGATTAAAATCCTTCACTATTCTGTGTTTAAAATAGTACAACTCTATTGAAGTAATAGTTCGATGAATATTGTTAGAAATTCTTTGTCTAAATTTCTTTTTATGTAGGCGAATTATATTCTATAAAATCAAATCACTATGAGTCAAAAGATCAATATAGTAATAATTAATAAGCTTCAACTCGAAATTTTATGTATACGTACTAAGAGTTAATAACTACTATGTGTAAGAGATAAGACCTCGTACTAGTATTCGGATAATCTATAATTATATTTATATCTTATTGATAAGACGTTTTTAAACGAGTTCGATTATAAAACTCGGGATTTTGATGTCGGAATTCTGACTCTCTAGTTCCGATTATACAACGAGTCAAATTAACTATTTTGGAGACATTTCAACCAACTTATAGCGTTGTGATACTCGGTCAACTAAATCAAACCACTTTTATAAAATGTTTTTATTTGAATTTATATGACCTTTGTGTTTGCGTCCTTTGTTACTATGTCCATTTCTATATGGCTATTGTACAAGCTCCAGACCGTCGTTTTTACTACAAAGGAGAAAACAAGGGCTTTGTCCGACACAGCCAACTCTCAATCCGGGGACCTTGTTGGTCTATTTGCGCTGAAATTTTCATTTTCAACCTAAATTCAGCCAAAAAGATGACCCAAAACACGACATACACAAAAACTAACGAGCAACCTGTGTGAATTTTACCACCATACACAATCCACCAAAACGGCCGTCACGCTGTCACGCTGTCACCAACAATATACTTGGAATTACGGCATATGAATTATAGCATAATATGAGGGGGTACACAATGAAGCTATGGGACACACAAGAACATCTTGGATATTCTGCGGGAAACCCACAGGACATCTGTCACGGTCTCAGACCATTGTGGACGATGGCTAAAAGAGACGTCTTTTCGCCCACGGCCAGCGAGAGCAGGACAAGCCATAAGCCAGATTCCCAAAGCATTAATTGGCAGTCCTAAAGTCCGGAACTCGACACGTTTAAGGAGATTGACATTGCCTTTTAAAACAATCGTTTGACACCTTACTCAATAGGGTCAAAGATGCCCGCGCCCTCGAAATTCAATGACGTTTCTCCAATTCCTCAAAGACGGGGTTTTGCGAGTGGAGAAAAAGACGAATGTGCGGTTTTGATGGCGGAGACAAGAAATGCGGAAGTTTTGTCCAAATGAGTGCTGCTCCCAGATTCTTGATTAAAGTAGAGAATCTCCGACTGAGCTCTCAAGACAGGGTTCGTAGTTCTTGTAGCCATACAAGAGGAGAAAAATGAGAAATATGGATCGATTTTGTGGGTCATTAGGTTTTGGGTTTATGGTTTTGGCGGAGAGTCCGGTCGTATTTCAGTCGTCGTCAGAAAGCTAGACGGAGTACTAGGTACAGTGATGTGGTCTTTTATTGAGCGTATCACCCTTTTTAGCTATCATATTCGTGTCAAAGAAGATTGTATCAATTAGAGAATTTAAATACTTTTTCAACTGGCTATGTATGTATCGAAACGAAGGATATTGTTGGAATTGGCTTCGCTAAATCGATGCGGATGCCTAAGACCTTCTTCGTGTTGGTCGCATAGAAATAGCAGTTGGAATGCCATCGAAATGGTGGGAAGCCTGCCAAGGACTTTCACTTGGCTTCTCACATGTTTGAACCCTACCCTGGGAATACCAAATGTTGGCATAACCTTTAGGACTCGAGGCACTCTCGAGATAGCCAGGCTTGTCGTCCATCTTGACAGGCTGTCTCGCGTCAACACTGATTTGATGACCTGTGCCTTGGCTTGGCTCGACAGTTTCGACCTCTTCGCAATTCTCTGGGATGACGATTGCATTTTCGGGCTTATCGCCAGACCGACGACCCAAAAGAACACTTTCTCGACCCTGTCTACTGAAAGCCTGTTCAGTCCGAAGTCCACTCTCGGGGTGCGCTACGATGCCCCAGAAGTCGACCTCTCTTCCCTGATCGACATCTTCATGATTGCTAGGTCTCACAGCAGATGCAGCGAGTAGATGCATATCACGCTCGTGCAATTCTTTGGGCTCTTCAATGATAATGCTATCGACGACCCTATTTTGGTTGGCTCCAACGTCCGAACTTGGCTCAAGACTTTCTTCGACATCACTCTCTTCGAAGTCGAGTCCATTTTGCGGATATTTGAATGGGAAACGCTGCTCAGGCTCGGGTTGTCTTTCTGGTACGAAAAATTCTCCAGGTTGGCATTGTCTCTTCAATGGTCTGACGTCAAGTACTCCCTGATCAAATAGAGGTTGTTTTCTCTTATTTAGCTGGGAAGTAGACAACATTTGAGGCGCGTCCTGATATCTGTGTTGGTTGTCATGGACTTGATAGCTTACACGACTAGCTCTCATATCTTGTTCCTCACGAGGGCCGACATAAGATCTCTCATTTTGTCTTTGTCTCATAGGCTCACCGGTACATCTGCTTGGTTGAACCTGAGGACTTGGTGCGAGGCTCATGTGCATGTGTCTCGAAGGGGTATTGTCTCTGTATGGTTGCATGGTTGCCGTCATATGACCCTTGTCTTGCATCATCGCCCGGGTGTTGGAGGCCGCATACTCGAAAAAGTTTGTTCTCGGATTAGGTACGCCGATTTCTGCATTATCGAATACTGAATTTCTATTCGTATTGCAGTGATGTTGTTTGAAATGCATCTGCGACCCAGAGTTCTTAGCATTGCCTTCAGCCAGGTTCAATTTTTTATTGTTGATACCAGTTTCAACCTGCGTCGGGAATGGGGGGAGATCATCCATATGGTCAGGGTACTCTGGTGAATCAGCCACGGAGTCGTATCCAGTCTGAGATCCAGATTCGCTTTCCATGTCATTATCAACCGAATAGTCGTCGTCTACGATAGCCTCGCTGGCATCTGCATCGATAGCTTCGTCGTCACCTCCACCATCACTTGTGCTTAGTTTGTATCCATTTGCTGGATTCAAAGATGATTCTGGGTGGTTTATCGAGTTTCCTTTGATAGCGTCACCTGTCTTGAGACTGATCAGGCCATTTTCTAGCTTTTGCAGATACTCGTCCTTCTTTCCAGGTTTGTTATACTCTGCCCACATCTTGTTAGCATATTTGTTTGACACTACCATCGAGCGTCTTCGGGCCTCCCAATCTTGGAGTACTTGTCCACCAGCTTGTTTCGCCCTCTTAGCTTCTTTTCTGGCCTTTTCTTCAACATAATTTTTAATATTTTCCGGATTAGTTTGGTTCAACTTCGCCAGAAGCATTCTATCGCCTGTCAATAGACGTCCATCATCTCTCTTCGCAAGGATACTTTCGATCCTATTAATCGCGCTTTGAGTGCGACGTGTGGCTCGCGGCTTTCCGAATTTCTTCTTTTTGAGCTCCTGCATATGTCTACATTTCTAAATTAGCTACCACCATCGATATCTAGAACACAGTAAAAAGCAAGGCAAGTCTCACCGTCCTACTGTCTGTGCGTCAACGCCATTGGTCATTATTCGCCGATTTTTTGGCGATGGTCCCTTAGTCCAGGCCTCCGTCTTAAGTTCTTTATTGCATAATTCTGCAATTTTTCCACTTCTCAACTTTAGGTCTCCATTGACATTGTTGACCTTGAAATAATTGTTGAGCCAATCCACATGTCTGTCGGGTTTAGGCATTTTAACTACAAGTTGAGCACTCGATAGCTACTTAAGGTCTTGATGTGGTCGAGAGATATTCTGAAAATCGATCTAAATAATCGACAGAGATGCAGTGGGTTGTTGTTGATAAAGCCTAGTCCTTCGTCCAAAGTCAGATCTGATGATCTCCGCATTAATTCTTTGAAGGATGAAAACTTACTTGCTTGCCTTCTACCGTTCTTGTGGGTGTGGTTACTTGAGATTCCGCGCAGCTGATACTTTGTGAAAGATTGTTGAGCGCGTGAACAAATCTCTTGATTGCGATGGAGCTTCTTAGTACTGACTATTTCAAGTTATCCTGATTGAATTCAAGTTGAGCTGGTGAATTTATTCGTCTAATCCCGATGACTTTCTTCTACCTCGAATTTGTTCTAAAAAGGTTCGTGTGGGGTTGTGATTAAAGTTAATCAAGATACAGGAAACAAATGATTGAAGTTGTGTATATTTTGATTTAGAAGTAGGTGGTAAAATAGATGGGTGCATTGAGGCGGTATAAATATTTGATATGATGAAATCGTTAACCTCTATCGCTTAGATTTTGTTGTCTAACGCTTCGTTCTTATCAAAATTTGTTGCCTAGGCCGACCCAGATAGGACCCCTGCTCCTATCGGAGTGCGATCTCGAAATTTCGATCACTCAAAAAACAGGCACAAAGCCGCGGGCCACAACCATTGCAGCAATTTCAAGTTTGCGAGTCTATGTTGGCGCATCAAGACGGAGATTCAAAGGTTTGCAAATCTGGTCAATACGAAAGAATGCGCTCCTCCTTATTTCTGAGTATCGGGCTAACTACCTTTGTCCTCTATGAGACACGACTGACTGAGAGCTTCGCATCGACAGTTTTCCCTTCACAGATGACTCTACAATTGCTAGGTGTCTTCCGCAGACTTGTCTCGATTCTTACGATTATCCTTACCATTCTCGACCACCGAATACAGTCAGGCTAGCCTTCGAGGAATTCGGAAGTTATTATACATCTGGTGATTTTATCTTGAGGTTCAGGTACATAGAGGTCCAATATATATATATATATATATATATATACACAGTTGAAAGTCAGGGTTAAATCGATATCACAGTTGATGGTATTTCTTATAATTCTAAACAAAATGCTTTTATGATTTGTGATTTGTGATTTGTGTAAATTTTGCAGGTAAATTGCAGACAGATCATGGTAGATTCTACAAGATCCGTGGTATTACCCATACTTTAATAGCCCAATTCGAACAGACAATAAGCGCCGGGTATCTTCCAATTTGTCCCAAGTCTTGAAACAGTGCAGTCCTTTACTAGCTTGCCAGTCCTTCCTCCATGTATCATATTTTCCGTCTTATAGAATCACGGTGTTCCCATCTTTCACCAGTGATTGTTCCCAGGTCCACCTTGCTGAGGTCAATTGTTGACATCGAGATTGGGTGAATTCCAATCCTCGAAAAGGCCGTCATTGCCCAGGAAAGCCGAGTAATCGAACTCTCCGTTGTGCAGAAATGTCTGCTCTAGTGCATGCATCTCTGGCGCAGCAAGCAAATCCTCGAAATTCTCATTGTCTTGTACATCTAGAGTGTTCTCTGGAGATACTTGACCGGATGGCTCAAGATCGTGAGCCTCTTCCTGTGAGAAAGCAGAATACTCTTGTGGATGGAGTCCCTGAACTCCCACATTGGCTTCCCAGCTCCCATTTAAGCCCCCAGTTGTATTATAAATTGCGGGACTTGGCACTCTTGCGCGAGCTGCATCGTAATGTTGTGCCACAGGATCCGGAATGTTGGTGGCAGCATGCTGTTGTGTATGCGCTACGCCCTGTGTCATTTTGCTCACACTTTCTGGGATAGGTGGTTCGGAGGCGACAAACCGTTGTCCAGAACCAGCTTCGATATCATTACTAGGACCACTTTGTTCAGGCCCGAAAAGTAGAGGGCTGTCTCGTCCTTCGGAATCCGCATCTCGGACTTCAGGAGTTCGGATATTGGGAGCTCGGATATTAGGAGACTGCAACGTTCAAATGTCAGTAAACTGTCTATCAGGAAACACTTACAAAAAATTTGAGGAACGAAGAGTTTTGTAAAGAAGTGGGAGGGCACAGGAGGATGAAAGGAGTGTGGTGATGTCAAATGAAAGAACTGATCAAACTTACTGTCTCTCCTTCTTCAGCTGTCTCTCGCTCATAAGGACTGCTATGACAGATATTCAGCCTCGAGTGTGGATGAGGAGTCCATCTCTCACCAATGCCACTGCCGTCGAAGGATGAATTTATGGAGTCATCAGTCCCACTCCCGGAAGTTCTTCGAATTCCAGACTCGCCAGCCGTTGGTCGCTGATGAGTTTTTGGAGCTAGTCTCGAAGCCCCCAGTCTCTTGACTGGCTCTTTGGTGACTCTCATTCTAGCATCAGCTCCAGCAAACATTGGACTTTCAGACAAGGCAGAAAGTCGAGAATTGGACGCTTGACGAGGTCGCTTTCTCAAATGCGTGGAATGCGGGCCCTGGTTTATTTCGTCGTCCTCAGGGATCAACTTTCTCTTTCGTGCAGGATTTTGAGACTGGGTGAAAGTCTCACCAAGCAATTGTCCAGCCGGACTCTCTGGGACTTGCGGATATGCTGGCATATATTGCACAGCATAATTTCGAGGAACTGAAGGATAGATGGGCTCATATCTATTCTGCCCCTGATAATCAAGTTCACCATCATTCTGAACGGCAAACGGATCGTATGGAATGCCAGACTGGGAATTTGCAGGCATGCCATAGCCGTATTGGCCAGGCACAGCTTGGTTATCGTCGACAGCATATACCCCTGTATAAGCTGTCTGTTGAGATGCAGGCTGAACTCTGCTCACTTCGTAGCTTCGCCCGCCTGCGTAACTACCAATACCCGAGTTCATTGGTTGGGGTGGCGGCATGGAGTATATTTCATCTTGGTCCCGAGTGTATACGGGCATTGAATGGAGCCCATATTGTCCTTGTTTAGGAATTGGACTTTGAGGAGGTGCCTGCATATTCGAGTAATCATACTGCCCCAGCTGGATCATCTGGTCGTAGGGCTGTGACTGCATACCAGGAAGATCACCTTGACCATGTTGATGCTTAGGTTGATAATAAGGCGCCGAATCGATATTCGCGCTAGGTCCCAACGCTGCTAGACCAGTATCTTCGCTTGTATTGTTGATGGGGCCACTTGCCGGTGCATTAGACAAGTTAATTGCCGCTTGACCAATAGCGGCACCAGTGACCAAATCGATCTCGCCGTTCCTCAACTTCCGAACGTAACCCACCGGATCTTCATAGTATGCCTTCCACATCTTGGTGGAGTATTTGTTGCTGCCGGGATTTGGACCGGCAGGACCTCCGCCTGCTTTCTTCAGCATCTTCGCCTTTTGTTCGAACCAATTCTTTATCTTCCTGTAGCTTTGTCTAGTGTCGTCCATCAGTATCATTCTTTCTCCTGCGGATGGATAATGATTATTGAGGTAGGCTGCTTCGAGGATAGCTACTTGCCACGGCAAGAGGCGTTCTGCTCGAGGTTGATGACGAGCGCGTCTTCGACATTCGCTGATATGTCTGTGTGTATGTTAGCTTCATGACTAATCCTGAGAATAAGAGTTAACTCATACCTTCCGACAATTTGCGAATCGACACCATCAACACCTGGAGTTGTTGGTGGAATGTGTGCTGCGTTGCATCTAATCGCAGTCTGTTTAGTCGGTTCCATTAAGATGTCGGGATTGGGGAGACTGCGGTAGTAGTTGTCGAGAAAGACAATGTGCTGAGCGTCTTTAGGCATCTTGTCTATTTTTCTTTTGATAGTCAGCCCAGATTCGAAGGATTAATCGGACCAGAATGCTGTATGTGGATCTTACCGGAGTTTATAAAGTTGATTATTATTATTCAGGATGTGGGAAATACTGTATCAGTATCTCACTGCATCAAAATGTTAGCTCTTCATTCATGGAGCAGATCCGATGATTTCTCGAGAGTGCATGGAAAAAGTATGAGGATGTTCTAACCTTCTAAAGTCTTTTGACTTCGGTTGCGGTTCTTCACGAAAAATGCGAGTAATGTGGCTGGTAAACAGCGTCTAGTATTCACCTGATTTCCTGATGAGAATACTAGGTTTATCGGAGTTATTCGCAAGTTAGGCGGTTGTTTCCGAGGCCAAGACTTGTAGGTCGTAGGGCTGAGATGATTTAAGAAGAATGATAACTTGTGTTGAAGGTAGTAGTAGTTTTGTAGATTGAGTTGAAGAGACTGGAATTAGTCAAAGTAAAAAGTTACTATCTTGTTGGAAAGTCCTTTAGATATCCAAAAGTATGTGTTAATGGCTTTCTCAAAGCCCGCGCGTTGAGAAGCTTATATTTAAGGAGAGTCCTGAACTTATTAATGCTTCAATCACTAGCGCAGTGTTTTGTTGCTAGTGCGACCGCTGGAACATTTGAAGCCAGAGGCGATGTATGGCAGAGATGTTTGTTACGGTTTTTTTTGGCCCGCGCGCCTTGAGACTTACGGTTTTGTTGACAGTACAAGTTTATTCTATATAGGGCACATGATTTCTCATACATGGACTCGAGACAGTCCCCGAGGAGTAGTTGGGTGAAATCTCTCCATTTAGCTAACGTGGCGTTGTTGATTGTCTACTCGCGAATTACCAATGTGGTTGTTCGTTGCGATTTTTACGATTCTCCAATTCACGCGACTTGCCTTGTCTACCCCGGCACAGGCATTCCTCTGCTTCCATACGTGACCTCCTTCTACTTTCCTTCTATTTACCGACTCCCTTGTGCGAATCCTGAATATTTTTCTGCGCCTTTCTGCCATCGATCATAGCCAAAGGTCATCCCTTCATTCAACACGCGAAATCTTGATGCAGATTGACATTCTATTGACAGACATTCAGTCCATTGACGACCTCGATCATACGCTTTTTACAAGCATACAAAGACAGCATCTATGTATCAGCGGGAACATACAAAGCGAAGGAGAGACAAATCGATAGAAGATGATGGAGAGATAGAGGGCATATGCGATAGACCTAGATTAGACAGCAGAGAAATGTATATCCAACCATATGAAGACAAAGAGAGAGGCCACACGAGCTCAAGTTGAATAGACAGTATGTCAACTAATTTCTGAAGAGAGACCATACTTATCAAGCTGCACACTCCCTCTCATGAACTTAGTTTATCTCCCAACTCATCTAATGCTGCCAGGTTCCCCTTTTATCTCAGTTATCCAGGACCATCCTCTCAGAGCAAATTCCGACTTTCCCAAGACACAAGAGCTTCAGGAACATAAAGAACGTGATGAAAGATATCGAAAGAACACATGATGGGGCACAAAGTAAGGTAGAACTACGAATAAATGCGGAATGAGACGGATAATGCCTGCGCATGCATGAGAGATGGAACCTCGATTGATCGCCCTACCTCATATCCTCGTATAAGCGTGACGTTCTACCTTAATCCTACCCAGCTTCTCATCAGCAGTTTCCAGGTATCTCACGGACTATCGATATTCTGCCGTTATGAAAATGTTCGAAGTCAATTTTCTCGAGCCTTCGTACCTATCTCGATGAGTCTGCGATTTAGACGGTGTATTTGAATAATCAGTTCTTTGCCCTCCCCCCTTTCAACGGCAATTCTCTTGGTCATACTATTCGCTTCAGTATGCTATAGTTTTTGTATCAGTGCGAAGCGAATCCTTTCTTATATCCTCTGTTGTACAGTCAGATTCAGGTTAACTAAACTACTAAGTCTGAAATTTAGAGCAGAGATCCAAGACATATCGTCAAATTACGGCCGCATATATCATAGTACGAGAACAGGGATCGGTATAACAGAGATGGTCTACAATCTATCACGCGAGATTGGTGGATGAGATGAACAGGGTCGAAAAGCGACGACCAGGATCTGGAATCTCTAAAACGATAAGAACGAATGGATATAAGAAAAATACCATATAGTACAGCCAGAAGTATGAAGTTTTTTGCAGTTTCATCATGTACGAGGTAGATCCTACGTCCAAGTGCTAAGGTGTTGAAGTGATAGGTTCACAGATGCGAAGTGATGCAGAAATACACTGCAGCACGATCTACAACACCAAAAAAGCTCGAGAATGGAGACTGCAGATGAATGATGGATGAGAACATATATATACGCTGTAGTGGCATCATCAACATGGCATCTAGTCCATGCTACTTGAGAGGGAAAACATCGCAGGCCTACGAAGAACGCGAAAGCATCACGTTAGCATAAAGATAGCCAATTTACGAGGAATAAAAGGCGTGGACGAAATGGTACATTATGCAGACAACAAATCATATATACGACGACTTTATCCAGTATGCTCGATTGTCATTCCAGAATGTAGAAGTCGATTTCCTTGTTTTGATTGGAGCGCTAGATAAGGGGGTTAGCGACTCAGCACGGGCCTTTGTTGGCCTTCAAGTGTCTGGTTCTTTTCAGAATCAGCAATAACCGTTATAGAGTTGTGACTGGAGTCATAGTTCGTAGCGGATTTACTAACTGGAAAATTTCTGTAGTTATCTAGTGAGGTCGAGAAGAGGAGAGCATAAATTGGACGAAAATTTACATACAATCATTGAAAAGAGCTTGACTACTTTATCATGTCTTTGATGGTGTAACCTTGAATTAAATAAGCCTAAAATAATACTACTCCATATAATTGAACCCAATTACAGCTTTAAATCGTATTCTGAAATCGTCTAAATTCCCACTTATCATTAGTATGATAGATTTGCTGGCCTCTCATTTAGACGCCGATCCGTAAGTTGTCGTCGGACCATGTCGAACCAAGATATCGTCCTCTTTCAAAGTCGTTGCTCGTCCGTAATCATTATGTGCTATCTCTTCTAGACTCAGTCCTTGAGTCTCACGCAAGAAAAAGAATGATACAACTGCAATTATGCCATCGAACAGACCCCAGAGGAGGAATGTACCCCTAGGTTTGTGTCAGCTTTCTCCGCAAAATATGGATTCGAGTGTTTGTGTATGTGTGTTACTTACCATCCAAGATTCTCGATTATATACGGAGTCGTCAAGGAAAATACGAAGTTGAAAAGCCATTGGGATGAAACTCCAATTGCAATACCCGGTTCTCTGATTCTCGTCAGAAAGATTCTGCATCAGAAATTAGCAAAATGCAAGGACATGAATGTACGGGAAGAAAGTTCTTACTCAGATACATATGGCCATGGTAGTGGTCCCCATGAAAGATTGTACGCAATAACAAACATGTATATCAGAGCCACCGTCGCAATTCCACTACTTGTGACACCTGCAGTCTTTGTAGCTGGAAGCTCTTTGACCACGACTGCAGTTGTAATTTGACAAGCACTCATAAATACAGCTCCACCAATCAAAGCTGCTCTTCTACCAATGCGATTCGAAAGGAAGAGAACAAAGACTCCGCACGCTACAATTTTGATTGCACCAAAGATGGCAGTCAGCAGTAAGTCCCGATTTCCACCGCCAACGAGCAATTTGAAATATTGCGGCCCATAGTAGGCAAAGGCTGTTGCGCCTGTAGCTTGTTGGGCTGTGAAGATGGCGAACGCTGTGAAAATGCGATTAAAATTACCCCTTTCAACAAGTTCTATGAGAGATTAGTGTCTACTTCACTTTGTCAAGAAAGCGACGAAACATACCCTTCACGTGAAATCCTTCAGTAGCTCTCTGTTCCATTTCGACGCCTACACGAATTTCTTCCATCTCTTCAATCGTAGCTTGCGATTCACCTGCTCGAATCCACTTCAAACTTTCCCAAGCCTCGTCATGTCTTCCTTTCTTGGTAAGCCAACGAGTACTTTCCTTCAGAGTAAACATTCCCAAACCAAGAAGACCAGCTGGAACAATCTGGAGACCGATGGGAATCTGCCATTGTCTGGACACAGAAGGCCCCACTTCAGCCATGGCATAGTCAACCCAATACGAAGTAAATATTCCTGAATTAATGTTAGATCCCATTCTGGTGCTTGTTCACGACTCCACTTAGACTAACCAAAAGTGTAAAACCATTGGAAAAAGCTCCCAATCTGTCCTCGCAATTCCTTTGGTGCCATCTCCGCATTAAACATTGGAACAACCACACTTGCAGCTCCAAGGCCCACGCCAGCGATAACTCTCCCAGCATAAAATATTGCCATACTATGAGAATTGACAGTTTCCATTATGGCACCAATAATGAAAACAAAAGAAGCGATTTGCAAAGACAATTTGCGCCCGATCCGATCTGCAATGGGCCATATGAAAAAACATGCTACAAAAGCACCCGCTTGCTGCAGGCCGACAGCAAGAGAACTCACGCGAGTTGCATGAGCGGTCGAATACTTGAAATCATTAACGAAAGATTTGAGAGTCAAGACTCCACCTATTCATCATTAAAATTCCGTACTTATACTACTGTGCTGGCTTTATCACGATGTACTTACCAACACTATATGACTGTTAGTAAATCAAACAACCGAGCAAACACACAAGCAGGTGAGTAAGAAATGTAGGGGTACACACATACCACTATCATAACCAAATAGAAATCCACCCATACAAACTACTCTTGCTAGCCAGTACGCTCTTACTTTGCCAAGCGTTGAGTTCTTCATCATGACTACCTTGGTCAAAAATTAGACAAGATCTAGATATTCCACATTGCAATGCTAGATCTTCGGGACTTTCATCTAGTTGTATATAATTGAAGCTGATATCAATCTTTTCTAGCATTCTGCTTATCGTACGCATATCTCATGTGGTCATCACAAGCATTAATCACGTCTTGACAGGCATATCCAATTCGATGACGAGGTTGTATAGTATGGGGAAGAGCAACAAGGGGAGCGATCTATTTTACTGGACCGCGCAATCCATTTCGTGCGGGGTACATTGGTGTTGTCTAATATGTACATGATTGGATGAAAATAGATTATGCCCCACTTTTGTGGTCAGTGATCATAGAATTATACTTCCGAAGACTGCAACATCATTTGAGATTGAAACTACTGCGTATGTATCGGTGATCAATCTATCTGTGAATATATTGAGTTTTCTGCTCCAATCATGAAGCATTCATGGAGGTCCTCAGTCCACTCTCTTACGAATACTTGTGGAGTGCAACGTCACGAGCATGCCGCTAATGCTTCAACACTTGGTCAAGATAGGGAAAATCATCTGATCTTCTCTGAGTACAACTATGTGAGTGTATTCGAGGTAAGATTTCCTTGGTTAAAAAGCAGACGGGCTTAAGATTGAACTCGTATCATATTTTATTTGTCTCTCATGTCTTTTGCAATTCTCTGGAATCGAGCTACAAACAGCACACCTGACTTGAGCCTCACTCCATCCTCAATCCATGATGTCCTCCTCAAAACGTCCCAATTTTCTTGTCATCGTCGCCGATGACTTAGGATTCTCGGATCTCTCGTGTTTTGGAGGGGAAATCAACACTCCAAACATCGACAAAATAGCACAGGCCGGAATCCGCTTCACGGATTTCCATGCTGCTGCCGCATGTTCCCCGTCTCGAGCAATGATAATGACAGGTACCGATCATCATATTGCCGGCCTTGGAAATTTAATCGAGTGGACCAATATATCCGGGCAAAATGATCCGGGTGGGAAGATGTCAACGGCGCCTCAGAGAGGCATGCCAGGGTATGAAGGATACTTGAATGAGAAGGTTGCTACATTACCAGAAATTTTGAGAGATGATGGATATTTGACATTGGTATACTTGATTTCCCTTCTTTTCTCTCCTCGTGATAATCAACATCATGATAATATGCTACCTAACATTAAGCTAATCCACTCAGATAGCTGGAAAATGGCACCTCGGTTTAACCCCCGAGCGGTCCCCAAAAGCTCGTGGGTTCGAGCGAAGCTTTGCTCATCTGCCAGCATGCAGCAATCATTATGGCTATGAACCTCAACTCCACGCTCCCGATCAAATCCCTGAGTTCATGACTATGAGTTTCATAGCACTCCATAGTGAAGATGGAGAATATGTCAAGAAATTACCCGAGGATTGGTACTCAAGTAATGGGTATGAAGATAAGATGCTCGAATATTTAAGAGAGAAAAATGAAAAGAAAGACGAGAAGCCTTTCTTTGGTTACTTCCCTTTCACGGCTCCTCATTGGCCATTACAAGCTCCCCCAGAATTCGTGGCAAAGTATAAAGGAGTATATGATACTGGGCCCGATGCGCTTCGTTTGCAACGTCTTCAACGACTCAAAGATTTCGGGTTGATATCTCCAGATGCGGAGCCCCATCCCGTTGTTGCAGATGAAGTGAAAGCATGGAACGATCTCACTGCCGAAGAAAAAGCAAAGTCGTGTAAAGCAATGGAAGTATTCGCTGCGATGGTTGAATGTATCGACTACAACGTTGGACGTGTGGTCAAGTATCTAGAGGAAATTGGAGAGCTCGATAACACTTTCATATGTTTCATGTCAGACAATGGTGCTGAAGGTGCTGCTTACGAAGCTTATCCTGTTGTCCAAGGAAGCATGATCCAACACCTACAAAAATACTATAACAATAGTTTAGAGAATCTCGGGAACGGAGATAGTTTCATCTGGTACGGACCGCGCTGGGCACAAGCTGCTACAGCACCCAGTCGCCTTTACAAAGCCTATACCACCGAAGGAGGCGTTCGAATTCCCTTCGTTGCTCAATCCCCCTCAAATTTCAATACCCAGAATTCCAATAGTATAACGCATAACTTCGCCACCGTAATGGACCTCGCGCCCACTATCCTCGAAATGGCCGGAACTAAGCACCCGGCACCCACATATCAAGGACGAGAGATCGTACCAATGCGCGGTAAATCCATGCTTCCCTTCATATCCGGAACATCCTCCCGTATCGACGCCGAAGACTTTATCTCCGGCTGGGAAACCTGCGGTCGGGCTGCTTTGCGCAAAGGATCTTGGAAAATTGTATTTATACCCAAGCCCAAGGGAACCGAAAAATGGCCATTATACAATCTTTCTGTTGATCCTGGAGAGATACACGATCTAGCTGATGAGCAGCCGGAGAAATTGAAAGAGTTGATCAAACTTTGGGATGAACATGTATTGGAGACAGGAGTGGTACCGCTTGCGCCTGAGCTTGGGTATTGGTTGAAGGCTACCGAGGAACAGATGCCAGAGAATGTGTGGATGGAGTATGAGTATTGGAAAGATGGAGCGAGGGATGAGCCGGATAAGTTTAGAAGGGATGTGCCGAGGTTTGAGAGGGTTATCACAGGATTTTGAGGGGAGGTTTCGAGGGGTAAATCTAGGAGGTGTATGGACCTAATTGATTTCGAAATTTTATTCACAAAGTCAATACAAACCCCTCATAATTAGCCACTAACTGCTCATACTATGATAGCTACGTATCGCATAGCCAATTGCAAATGCTTTGTATACCTGTATGCTGTAAGAACCATAAAAAAGTAAGATATTAGAGCTAGTGCTTCAAACAAGCCCAGATATTTTTTCACATCAAAATTTCAGATTTATTTCGCATTTTCTCATGCAAATTCGTGATTCTTTTCTTGATCCTATGCTAGAATTCTCCAACATCAAAGAATCCTCCAGCTGCATCTCTTTAATCTCATTAGGGAGTAGTAATACCTATTCCCCTCTTCCTCCCAAACAGGAAGCGGAATCTCCTTTTAAATTCCTCGGCTGTGAATGAAAGATAGCAAAATTGAGTGTTCTTGTGAATCTAGCAACAAGTACAAAAATATAGATATATTGCATACATACATAAAGGTGGAACGTGAAAGTGTACACGAAACGCAAAGAAGCGGGAAGAATAACCCTACTGCACGTATTTACATTCTCAAGATATATTTTCATGCTATTGCCGTCTTCGACAGCGATGAAATACAGAGATTTTCGAATATCTGAAGATTCGTTCAGTAAAATTGAGACCCAGCACATACTCGTTCACTTGTCAAGAGTATTACTGAGGATATGGAAGTCTATATCATTATTTCGTAGATTAGTGTTGGTTTATATGTATCCACTCCCTAAACCTCTAGTCCTAAATTGACGGATAGCGCGCGGATCCTTTTACTAGTCAGGTCGCCGTCGTATGTATGATAGCTATGTGGTTGTATGTCTGAAATGAGTCTATGCAGCTATAATTCTAATGATCATGGAAGCTTCAATCGCTCATTCCCTCTAGGGTAGTTTCTAATTGATTCTAAAGATTCGAGAATATGAGTATTTATAGATTTATAGATTGTTGGTTCTACATACTAACAACATACTATAATACACATACATACATACAATACCAAATCTAAAAATTAACAAGTAACCACCAACTGTCATTTCAGTTCAACGACCCCCCTTCCATATTGCTCACATTCGTTGACCAAACAACTTTTTGTCAAACAAATCCAGTAATAGTTTTTACCCTTCTATTTCGGGCACGACGATTACACAAAAGGTTATAAGCTCGGTACTCAACACCTGATATCTTCTCTCATTAACTAACCTAATCACACATACCACCCATCTTATTCACAGCCCAGAATTCCTAACGAGAATTCGCATTGTATATGATGACATCCTATCGATGATCAAAACATCCTCGTTATGATTTCCAGATACTATTATCACCATCATTCCCTCACCATCACCAAATTCTCAATAGCAATTCCGAAATCCCGAATATTGAGACGAGAGGCCCATTGAACACCCCGCAAATTCACCAGCAAGTGCATCTATAGAGTAACCAGAACAGATTTGAACACCTGGAATCCTAAGACCTTGAATTCAGGAAACGATTGGCAAGGGGTTTGCTTCGGAAACAAGATGAAGAGGTTTCGAGAGGGAATCGTACATAAAAAACGAGGAGTCCTTTACCATTAAAAACTCGAGAATGATTCTCGATATCGCATTAAACGGGGGAGAATTGATGAGGTGCATACTCAGCATCATCATATCATGCACGCATTCACGAACGAAATGAGGGGAGGAGAGTTATCGCATGACTACTAATACTATACCGATTCGTTCCTCATTCTTTAGCAAAACAACACTTGGATAAGAATTATCGAGGAGAAAAATCCATTTATTCTTCTTTCCTCTCCCACTCCTCTCTCAAAATGTTTAAGAGCAAATGTTCAATAGTGGATATAGTTCCGTGGTCATCATCTATCATCCGACTGCTCCGCCCGCTGACATCTATCAATCTGTACCAGTACCCGACCTCACAATCTGATATTTCAATGACAGAGCGGATTACATTTCTAAATCCCTCTCGGTCGTCGGATGATGGTCGGATATATGTACGGATATCTGGGTATATGGAGAGGCATGTTTTATAGCATGAATATTCAATGTTGATTTACACCGAGAAGGTTCAAGGTTGATGTCGCTGCGATATAGGGAGCGAAGTAGATTTCACGGAAAGATATTGTAAGGTGTGGAAATAGAATAGCTTAGCTTTACCACGGAGGGTTTATAACTGGATGCGGATTTGGATGTCAACAGTCGCATCAACTATCCACTGAGTGCTATTGTGAAATGTATTCTCCGGAGTCCGTAGATATTCTTCACAATCATTGATATGCCCCGAATCCCAAGTTTATACTAAGCCCTGGATATGCTCTCCTGGTGGTCCGTACTGAGCGACATTACTGAGACTTCGCTAGCCTCATTTCTCTCCTGGCTAAAGAATCATCCACTAGAACGAAAACGGGCGACCAGTCTACGAGCCTCACCGTTCACCGGACACGACAGAAATTCCGCACCCGCCCAAACGATTCACGCATCAAATGCCCACGTATGGAACTCAAGATTTGTAGAAGAATGACACCCATCAATCAAAATAAAAGACTCTACCAGTACTCCATAGAAAAGATAAGAACTTCAAACTCGTAAGCATCTGAGAACTTCCAATTACCAACCAAACACATTCATCTACCCGCCCTGCGAAACTTCGCCTCCTCCATCTGCATCAAAGATCCAAACTCCACCCAAAAAATCATTTGTAAGCAGTGAAGTTGTCATATCACGTGAAATGTCGTGCTTTTTGTTAACAATGACACAAGTGAAAGCAATCGGCAGGGGTTATCAAAGCTATCCGATTACCGAGAAGATGATTTGAGGATCGACTTTTCGATATGAGGGAAAATTGATCTTGGTCAATTTTAGCATGAGACGCTTTCTGTTAGTGAAGAATCAATCAATGAGTGAACATCGAGAGATCGATACAATGAAGGAAATAGGTTTATCTTAAATCGAAATAAAAACCCCGAATGAGTTAAAATCTGTAAAAATAAGTATAAAATTGCCACCATAAAATCTGCCTCCAAAAATCTTCAATTAACAAATTTGATATACAAAGGACCCGAGATTCAGGAACCAAAGAGGAATAAAGAACCTTCTCTTGCATCACAGCCTCTCAAAACTCTACCCCATTCAGTAAAGTCAAGAAAGTGGTTCACCAAATAAAACAAGCATAAAAAATTGATAAGACCTCAATCCTTACTAGCGTCTATCACGCCATATCAAATTCTCAGAATAAGGCAAGATAAGGCAAAATAAGGCAGCCAGGTCTTGCTCAAGCCTCGATGACAGCACTTATACTGCCCACGGAGTTATGGCACGGTAATGCGGTAATGAAAGAATGATTACTTGTCTTTGCCTGAAGAAGTGTAAGTCCGTCTTTGTAAGGACAATGAAATGTCGTGCTTTTCAGTGATGATCCACTTTTCTTTTGTAATTGTCGATGGAAGAGATATACCAAGAGAGTATATACCAGCACTCGAATCATCCTTCCTGCTTCACTTCCACTTCAACTTCTTTGGCATTGTGTGATCATACTCTCTACCTCTTTATAATACCTATCTATACACAGCATACTATCATCTCAAATCATATCATATCTCTTTATCATATTCTCTTGCAACTTGTGAAACTAGATTGGATCACACCATCGAGGAGATAATTGTGCCATTTATTATTGCTGGGCTTTTGACATCACTTTCCTCTTTCAACTTGCAACTTGTCATCAACCTTATATAACTTTTATTCTTTTCTCTAAAACAAAAGCGATATCTTAAGAAAACGTTTGTTTACTTGTATTCGACTTGCTATTTCAAATCAATAAAAAAGTTTTCTTCTTTCGCTCAACCGAAAAATATATCAACATGGGACTCCACCGCGAATCATCTGCCTCGAATCTCGAGTCGGGATATGCTTCTGGAGCATCATCTCAAAGCTCTCTTCCTCAAATTGTCCTCACAAAGCCTCACCTCAAGTTTATCAATGCATCACTCAACAATCTCCAACCTATGGATATTCTTCGATGGGCTAAAATTACCTTCCCAAACCTCTACCAAACCACTGCTTTCGGAGTAACAGGTCTCGTCACACTTGATATGTTAAGTAAGCTCCAAAAGGAAACCCCCGAGCTACCAAGCATCGATGCTATCTTCCTTGACACCTTGTATCACTTCAACGAAACACTCGAATTGGTTGAGAAGACCAAGAGCAGATATCCAAATGTAAACTTGCATGTTTATAAGCCAGAAGGCTGCCAGACTGTTGGAGATTTCGAGGGAAAGCATGGCAAGGAACTATGGAAGACCAACGCCGACTTGTATGATTGGGTTGCCAAGGTCGAACCCGCTCAACGAGCATACAACGAGCTGGATGTTGCTGCAGTCTTGACTGGCAGAAGAAGAAGTCAAGGTGCCAAGAGAGAGAGCTTGGACATCGTCGAGGTCGATGAAGCTGGCTTGATCAAGATCAACCCTTTGGCAGGATGGAGCTTCAAGGAGGTACAAAACTATATCAAGGAGAATGATGTTCCATACAACGACTTGTTGGACCGTGGATACAAGAGTGTTGGAGATTGGCATTCAACTGAGCCAGTAAAGGAAGGAGAAGACGAACGTGCTGGAAGATGGAAGGGCACTGAGAAGACCGAGTGCGGAATTCACAACAAACGATCAAAGTATGCACAATACTTGTACGAAATGGAACAAAAGAAACAACAAGAAGAACTGTCCGCAGCGTTGGAAAAGGTTCAGATCAGGGAAGAGAAGATTGAAGATATTACTGTCGGAGTTTAAAGTTATCAGCACTCGCTGTCTTGCCTGACGCAGTTTTTTTCTTTCCAATCTTCTCGTTCCAATATAGCACACCTTCCATGGTCGGAGTTTTGGGGGAACATCAGTGGGATAAACACATGAGTTATAAGCATTGGAGTTGTAGGCGTTCAAACAAAGGGAAATCATACGATACCTTACCCTGGTTGTTGTTTTGTTTAGATCTTGGCGGCTCGTTCTTTTGATGCTCATCATCTAAAGTTTCAGTCTCGCTATTATATATAGCGAAAACGACTTAATGAAAGTTACATTAATGCAATTCAGACCCTTATTGTGATATCTTTTTGATGTGTTTGAAGTGAAAGATTGAAGTCGCCGATAATATATCGCCAACAAAATCTGGTGCTAGTGTGACACATGGTATTGTCACAGTAATCCTCGTTGGATGACACTAGATAATCTCGACCACGAAATATATTAAGAAGTCATCATGTTGTGTCCCGACGACGTCTAGATAACAGCCAGAGGCAGGTTTGAGGACAATCTTCTTCAACGCACATTCCAAGATGTCGAACGTATGAGCTGAGAGGAATTCCGATTACCAAATGAGACAAATCTTGACTTGTGTGTGCAATCCAGTTCGTATCTCACCATCACAATAGATCTAGAAGCTTATGAAACAAAGCCACTATCTGTGCTGATATTAGCGGTGAGGGGAATGTGGAGGAGCTGATGGTTAAAATCCTAGCGGGCGACTATGGTGCTCCAAGTATTGACATCGTCTAGGTAATGACGCCAGGGCTGCAAATGGGGACGAGGTGAGGCTTGTTATCGCCCGAAGTGGTAGACTGGAGTAGCGTTCGGCATTTTGGTACGAATGATAAAAATTGAGTTTGCGGTATTCGGCTCGGGCCACTGCGGGGAAAGCGGCCGCTGTCGCCACTTACGCGGGGATCACAATGCCAAGGATAATGACGACACTGCTTTTGATGCTTTTGCTACTGGAATTCTAGAACATATGGAAAAGAAAACATGGCATTTAGCTTCTTCGTACATACCTACCTCGTAACTACGTAGTAGACAGTAATCCCTCCTTTCAACAGTTCTTTCGTCCATTCTTCTTCTGTCACAACTTCGTATTCCTGTGATTGTACCTAAGAATCCCACACAATCAAATCGAGAATACAACCAAAATGTCAAGCTCAATGGAGAAAGCAGGCGCGAAAGCCAAGGAGGTCGCGTAGGTTCATTTTGAAGCATTACCCCTCTGTTCGCAGAACTAATAGATTTCAAACAACAGAAAGGAAGACTTTGATAAAGCAAAGGAGTTGGCACGTTCAGCAGCAATCAGTGGAGCTTACCTTTACCCCATTAAAGTGTGTTGAGTTCTAAATGACATCTTTCTCTATGTTCTATCGTATCACAAGCTAATCATTTCCATAAACAGGGCATCTTCTACTTCCTCTCGCATCGCACATTATGGAAACCTCTCTTGTCGAAACTCGTACCCACTCTGTCTCTATCCGTCATCGTCGTGGTTGTGATGTTCATGTTTACCTATCTACCACAACTTGCCGTTCTCATTTTCACCGATGGACCCCTCGCTGCAGTCTCTGCAGTCCTCTTGACTCTCTCTGAATCTAGCACAATTGTCACTATGCTTTCCAAGAATTTCCTGATTGCAGATGCTCTTGTTGATACATTTGATGGAGTGATGGTAGCAAAAGGTCAAGCAGAAGTTGTACAAGGGGGCCGAGAGATCAAATCAGGAAAGTTTGGTGATCCAATGAGAAAGTTGGGTAAAGTTGTCAAAGGATACGGTCAAAAGTATAGCTTTGGAGGCTTGGTGAGATACTTGATGTATCTTCCATTGAATCTTATCCCAGTTGTTGGTACGGTAGTCTTTGTTGGTCTGCAGGGACGACAGAGAGGTGAAGGGGTTCACTCAAGAGTATGTTTCAATATCATTCTTTGACAAATACATTCAAACTGACAGAATTATTAGTATTTCCAATTGAAGGGATGGTCTAATGCACAAAAAGAAGCATGGCTTAAGGAGCACTCTGGGGCATACACATCGTGAGTTTTTCTTCCAATGTTGCCTCTCTTATTTTTTTTTACCATGCTCCTCGTTTTTGCAGAGGTCAAACGCACGGCTTTTGGGATCTGCATTGCATTTGTACCTGGCCAGTGCAGTGCTCCTATCAGTTTCTGTCCTGTTTCTTGCACACATTAGCTCTGTAAATGCGTCTTTGACAGGTATCACGAAGCTAGATGACACCACTTCCTTTTCAAGATCTACCAGTACAGATTTTATCTAACCAACTTTTGTGTAGATTCGGAACCGTCGCAACTCTTCTTGAACTTGTCCCTGTTGCATCCATTCTCTTCTCATTCACCAACACTGGTAATTACCACCTCTTTTAGCTCTACTCCTGGACCCATGCTAATTATCTCTCAGTTGGTGCAGCATTGTGGGCTGCCGACATCGAAGGTAATGGCACGACTATGACTGAAATCTCTTCGCCCCAGGCGCAAAAAGAAGCTCTAAGATCCGAGTAAAGCCCTTTCTGCAGCCTCCCGAAATTGGCTACAAACGGTGAGACTTTCGGCCAGTCTTCGTACTCCTTCGTTAATTCGCTTGGAAGATCCCCTGTAGCACAACTGTTCATCTGTGCATAAATATCCTTGCGATTTATGGTTTTTGGTAACCATTCGTTTGTCTTCCTGTCGATCTTTGACGGTGATTATGGTGTTGGTAAATTGGTAGCGATGGAGTGGAAATCAGGTATGGCTTGGCGAAAACCAAAGGATGTTTAATTATTAATGATTTATGTTGTTCTTTTCAAACGTTGTTCCTTCCAAGTATTTGAAATAAAAAGATGATTTCACAACGTGCGGTATTTGCAATATGAAGCCACATTATTATGTACATCAATGCTATCTACACTGAGAAGGACTTGTGAGTCAATTTTTCCGTTAGCGGATTCCTTCCCCGGACATGATGCACAGCTAGAGATTGCATCCTGGAGTCCCTAGATCCTCGTCTATTGCATAAAGATATTTTATAATCTTGCAAAATTCGAGTCACTTGAATTCGGAGAATAGCCAATTAATCAGTATCATAGAGTTGCTGGTAGATTGCATTGCATCTGCGATCAGCGATGCGTCCGTTGATTCTGTTGATGGGTGTCTGTCTTGACCAAGATATGCAACAAGGCTGGTTGTTAGTTATACAAGCTGTCTCTTGGAAACGGGTTTCAGAAGCTTGATTCAACTTGACTTCTTTGGGTATTAATAGCTGGAGATTCAAATTAATGACATTCGAATTGGATGAAAGGGACATTTTCACATGCAGGAACAAGCTTATCAAGTCACGGAAAGGTGCATCCTCGCTCGTTGTGTTGTCCAACTTAATGGACGGGAATGCAGTGCAGCCTGCCGATGTGTAACTTCAATCTAATGGTCTGTTCCTGGTCGTTTGAATTTGAGAGACAATTTTATATTGCAATCTTTGAGAAGTGGAAGAGTTTCCGCCCCGACTCTCTCAAGGTAATTGATAACCCGGGAACTCGCCATATGGTATGGTCACAACATTTGATGAAACATAAGGGAGGAGATAAGTGGGTAACAAGTCTGGTTTTGAGGTGTATAGTGGGTGAGCTGAGCATCTCCGAATGTCTTTGATGATGGGAGAATACATGGCAATGATGGGGTCTCCATGCAGACTTCCTGCTGCCTCTTGTCGCTTGCCTGCTTGCCCAGGTATGGTACTGTACTGTGTGCTTACCTCACCTGGTCGCCTCGTACCGTTGACCTTGGCTCTTCCTTTTCCTGGAGACGGGAAGTGGATCGAGTCGAATCGGAATCAAGGAGTTGCCGAGAATAGTTCACTGGGTATTTACTGTCTTCAGAGCGATCTAGGCAGGTACGAGGGAGGTAAATATCATGTTTATTGCATCATTGCGTTCAGAATGAAACCTTGCTACTATTAGGTACCTTGATCGATAAGGCATTCTGATCTTTTCACCTTTCACCTTAGTGCGCTTATCCTTTTTCTCTTCTTCTCTCATCCCATCTTTTCATATATTTCAACCTTTCACTTCCTATGCCACACTTCTTTTTCGTCTCATCTCATCCTGTCTTCTTTCCTCCCATAAATTCCCCTACCATCACATTTCCCTTGAGATCCAGCTGTTTTGAATTGACGTTCCGGTCTTCAATACTTCAATTTACTTGAGAGACATCCTATAATACGGAATAAGTTGTCCTACTCATCTCATTACAATCTTCTTTTAATATCCGCTTTTGCCAAATCACACTCGTTTGTCCTCCTCATCAAAAAAATCAAGTGATAGATCGACCTCAGGTATGAATTATCTTCCCATGTCTTTTCCTACTTCACAGAAGTCTTCCTACTCTTTTGGAATCGATTGATTCTTCTTAGGTTGTCACTAATTATATCTTATGCATATAGATCAAGATGAAAATCAAGATTTCCGCTAGACTTTCGTCCAGCGCGTTTCTTCTCGTATTGCTCCCTGCAGCTCAAGCTCTGCCACAATGGCTTCAACCACACCTTCGTAATGCCAATGCGGATGTGTTTGCTCCTCGGGACTATACAATCTACGAGAGAGCAGAGGAAATTCACGATCGCTACACGCCATATGGATATGGACCTCAGCCTACCTTCACCATAAACCCAATCACAACCGTTGATCCCGAGGAGACTTCATCATCCAGCACTAAAATTGGTCAGTTCATTGATCTTCCTTTTCAATCTTGATCAATCACATGCTAATTGAACTAGGATCTGCTACAGCTTCTGTTTCTGGCTCTTCCGTCAGCGGCATACTTTCCACTGGTACTTCTCCTGTTAGTTTGTATACTGGTCCAGGATCGATTGAACCTTCCGTAGTTACTTCTTCCACTGTTTCATACTCTACAATCACAGTTTCTGTTTCTGCTACAGAAGGTTCTCCCACGGCTTCGGCTTCGGCTTCGGCTTCAAGCTATGATCCAGGAACTTCTGCGTCAGCGACAGGGGGCATATCATCGGAATCTAATGGAATATCGCCAACAACACCTGGAGCACCAGATACTATTCCTACCGAGTCTAGTGGTAGTTCGCCAATAACATCGGCAGGAACATATGAACCTTCTCGTATCACTTCATTGGAATATTCTTCTACCACTCCAAGTGCAACTACTACTGATCACTGCAATCATGACAATTGTCTCCGCGAATTTATTCGATCTTCTTTCATTGTTCGTCCATTTTGTGCTACCTACACTTTGTCGGAAAATACTGCCACTGCATATCTTCCAACATATGTTTCACAATGCCATGATTCACCTTCAAGGATCTCATCTGCATGTTCATGTTTAAATACTGGTGCCGCCACTACTCCAGGAAGTATCGGTAGCAGCGCATCTTCGACACAAGCAGGAACAGAAAGCACATCCCAAATAAGTGGTGCACCAACTTCTTCTGGAACTCAAAGTTCTTCATATTCATCACCTGCCGGCTCAGAATCTTCTGCTAGCCAAAGTTCTTCTAACACTAGTCCTGAAAGCTTAGGCTCTACGGTGACGAACACTCAAACCTACACCATTACACCTACCATCACTGTAACTTCCGGAAGCCAGACGACCCAGCCATCAGGAAGTGCGCCAGGTGGCGCGTCAACAAACACTTCACCGGGAAGTGAGGCGACAACCACTCCGAGTACGATAGGAAGTGAGGCGACAGCTCCCTCGTCTGGCGGTGAGACGACATTGACTCCACAAGGAGGCGAGACGACTCCTAACCCATCAGGTAGTGAGACAGCAACTGCTCCTTCTGCTGGTACCACTATTTCTGGAGATATAACTCCAAGTGAAAGCTCAAGTAATCCCAGCTACACTTCAGGAGTATTGAGTACAGACTCTGGAATATCTGCACCTGCGACCTCTACCGGCCCACCTTCCACGCCTGAAAATTCATCCACTCCTGCCGGTACAATTAGCTCATCAACATATGTCTCTGCTAGTTCGTCATCTGCAGGACCTTACACGAATACTTCAGCTTCAGCAACCGGGTCCCTAACTTCTGCAATTTCATCAATCACTCCATCTGGCGGTATCTCAGTATCGGCACCTGGAAGCTCAAATGGTGGTAGTGCCCCCTATACAAATTCGACATCGGGATCATCACCAGCAACTACAATCGCTTCTTCAAGGACTGCACCATTTACCAATCCTTATCAAACTGGAACTGGTCTTTCTAGTGGAAGTGTCTCTGGCGGCATTTCAAGTTCGAGTGCGTCGGCACCTTTGTACACAAAGTCGACCAGTTTAGCCAGCTCAACTTACCTCGGTACTGCGCCATTATCTTCCGGCTCATCTGGAAGCAGTATTTTGTCAACAGGAACTCCATCATCCACTCCTCTATACCCACTCAACTCGACATCCACCTCAAGTGGAGTTGCTGGGCCTACGGGATCAGGTATATCGGGTGGTATCAGCTCCAGCTCGTCTGCCAGTGCTCCTTACCCAACGGGTAACAATGCTTCAACGACTACTGGTCCAACTGATACAGGATCTGCACCGACATCTTCTTTATTAGGAACTGGTACCTCTGGGTCTTCTGTCTCTGGAATTATCAGCTCTTCTGCTGAATCTGTTCCATACTATCCTTATGGAAATAGTACTTTGTATACAAATCTTCCAACTGGATCTGGAACAGGAACAGGAATTCCAAGCTCTGTATCAGGAGGTATCCAATCAAGTACCGGTGTTTCAAGCTCAGGGAGCTACTCATCTTCTTCCAGTGTTTCCGGTGGAATCACTTCGTCGCTGCCATCCTCTGCTCCATATCCAATCTCCAACAGTACAAAAACAGCAGGACCCACCAATCCAGGTACCTCAGTATCTGGTGGTCTCACTCCTGTTACTTCTGCACCACTTGGCACTGGAAGCCCACCATCATCAAGCGTCTCAGGTGTCATTAGCACTTCGCGGGCATCTTCCCAACCATACCAACCTTATCCGTATGGAAACTATACCCTTCCGCCACTAGGCACAGGTACAGGAGGTGCAGCTACATCAACACCTTTCGGGTCCGGAAGTTCACCATCAAGCATCGGCACAGCGCCTCAAGGAACAGGAAGTTCAAGCGCTGATTCAGGCTTGTCATCGTCAGTTCCATACCCAACACCTTCCAATGGGACCTTGACTAGTGGACCAACCGCACCGACAGGAACCGCGCCAATATCCAGCAGTGATTCTGGCCAATCGTCATCGGCTCCATATCCAGCTTCAGGAAACAGTACTTTGACTAATGGACCAACTGGAACTACATCTATCTTCAGCACTGGCACAGCACCTTTAGGAACAGGAAGTTCAAGTACTGATTCTGGTTTATCATCGTCAGTCCCATATCCAACCTCTTCAAACGGAACCTTAACTACGGGACCAACTGGAACTTCAGGAACTTCACCAATCTCAAGCTCATACCAATCATCTGTCTCTGGTACTCCTACCAGTATCGGTAATGCAACTTCGGTGCATCCGACCTCATCTGTCAGTACTTACGATCCTAATGGATCTACTTCCAGTCAAGTATCCGTAGGAACCTCGTTATCTTCGTATTCAGCAACAGGCCCATTTAATACCAGCACTGGAGCTTCTCCTACTGCGTCTTCGTCCTCAGGTGAGCTAAAATAGATGAAAAATCAAATGTTTTGAAATTTTGCTAATATCATCTTGAAGGTGACTCTGGTACGTCGATCACGTTGGTAACGTCGCCACCATCCACATTTGCAACATCGGTTTCGACTGGTACATATGCTGGCACTAATTCTTCTTCCATCATCTCATCAGCTTTAACTTCTGACTCTGGTTCTTCAATCTCATCCACAGATTCTTCAAGTGCTGCCCCTTCTACAAATGCACCCACTCCAACCACTACCTATTCTCCACCACTAACTTATGCTCCGCCACCTCCACCATACTACGCACCACCTCCACCAAATTATTATGGCTGGGGATCATGGGGCAGAAAGCATCAGAATAGAGATGCTGGTAGTGTTCGCCGTTGGTTCTAGTAAGAATTGAGTACAACACATCGAGCGTTGAGCTCAAGCACAAATTTTCGCTTTTAGACTTGCTTTCTTTTTGACATTTTGATTGTATTTTCAATCGAAACACATGTTCTCTTTCACTATCTTAATTTTCTTTTTTATTACGAACTTTTTCTTCTATGTATGGATGAGGAAAACAAGATTCAAAATGACTATCATCATGTCAATTAATGCATATCAGCTTCATTTACTGTATGGTGCTTTTATGACCCAAACAAAAATGAGCTCTGAAAGAAGTTAGTTATTTGGCAAGGTTGTATGAAATAGCTACATAAAGATAAAGAAAACAACATATCAGATCAATGTTCTCATTTTATTCGATGTTTGATATGTGAGATATAGGTTCTGATACAGTGAAGTATCGCTTCAACAGATGATGAAATATGTTTTACTTTTTGAGTGCTACTGGCAGTGCTACTGGCAGTGCTTGATTGCTCTTCAAAATCTTAGGGGATCCGTTTCCCTCATTTTAACTTTTTGCAAATTGAATACTGGTAAATAAAAGTACATGTACATAAGTGAACCATAATATTGCTTCCTTCCATTTTCTACCGAAGCGCCGTGACCGCTGTATTCTGATAAGGCATTGAGAAGAATCAAGACTTGGAAATTTGTGATGATCACATATCGTATATGTTTGGTAGTCTCGAGATAGTCAGAAGGATAGTCAGGTACATTGGGCTCATTGGGATGCATTTCATCGGAATGACCTCGGATCAGATAAAAGTTAGTGCTCGAAATACAAAAACACTAAATACCCCTCCGCGCACAAATGAAAGGCTGCTTTCACCCCCACTTCTCTAATCAATCCCTCGCAGAACGAACTAAATTGATTCTTAATTACAACTTACTTCTCAACTAAGGGTCAAATACTTACCTAAGTAGAGGGAGTATATTCAAGACCTCTAAAATTTAAGCAAGATGGCTGAAAATGAAGCATCAGCAAGAACTGGACGTCCCAGCTTAGGCAATAATGCGCGCAGTCGTTCCTATTTTCAAGAACATCAACAATATCGTCCTCCACAGCAAGATGGTCATCATGGTATAGATAGCATAGTTGAAGGTATTCAAGGTAGCGCGCTTTCATCTCCTACCAAATCTTTCACTCAATTCAATGGAGTTCCTTCACCACAACATCCCCCAAAGATTGTCGACAGCGGGCTCAATCATACCTTGTCACACGCAAACTGTCAACCCGCGCCAAATACGATCTCCGACCGAATGATCGCAACCCTTATTTACAAAACCAAATCTCCTCGTGTTTCAGTCACCGACTATCCACCCGATCGCTCTCCTTCGCCAGCTTCCTCTCCTTCCAGATCCTCGGTGACATCTACTTCCCGCGCCATCCCGCCAAATCTTGCTCCTGTCCGCACACTGTCCAACTTCCCACTCGAGCCTCCACCACCCGATCCAGAACCGCTCGATCATCTCTACGGAAGCTATATCTCGCAGCTTTGTCTTACATCCTTCCTTCACCTCATTCAATCCCTGCCGAGCCGATCCGGTTCCGATTTCCTCTCTTCATCCCATCGCTGTCTCGACAACCCCGAACATCCATCCATAGTCGAACTCACATTCTCCCCCATTCCCGATCCCACATATCTTGACCTCCAGGACTTGCGCAAACATGAGCTTCTCTATCGTTTTGAGCGCGAGTGGAATGTGGATGTCATTCTTCAACATGATACCGTCCTCCGACGCTATCCACGCCTGGTGGTTTTCGATATGGATTCTACACTTATCGAACAAGAAGTTATTGATTTAATCGCTGCTTCGATTGGAGTCGAAGATGCTGTCTCTGCCATTACTGCGCGCGCGATGAATGGCGAGTTGGATTTCTCGGCCTCACTTCGTGAACGCGCAAAGTTGTTGAAAGGAGTCGATGCAGATATCTTTACGAAATTGAGAAGTGTCATCACACCCACCAAAGGTGCTGCGGAACTCATTCGCGCACTAAAGAGAATGGGTGTGAAAACTGCAGTGTTGTCTGGAGGCTTCATCCCATTGACACAATGGCTCGCCGATCACTTGGGAATCGATTACGCATTTGCAAATACGCTCGAATCGGATCCTAGCACCAATCAGTTAACGGGAGAGGTTCTCGGTTCGATTGTCAATGCGGAAAAGAAACGCGATTTGCTACTGGAGATTGCGAAGAAGGAAAATGTGGCTCTGGATCAAGTGGTCGCGATGGGCGATGGCGCAAATGATTTGTTGATGATGGGAGTTGCGGGTTTGAGCGTGGCGTGGAATGCGAAACCCGTGGTGCAGATGGAGGCGCAGGCTAGGTTGAATGGTGAAAGTATGTTGGATCTTTTGCATATCTTTGGGTTGACGGCGGAGGAGATTAAGATCTTGATTTCGTAGAGGAGAGGAGGAGAGGTATAGATAGGAAGGAAGGAAGGAAGGAAGGAAGGAAGAAAATGCTTACTCGTTGAACACGGAAGAGGCGGATTGGATCCAGTAGATGATGATTTGATGAAGCTTGCGGGATGAGCAGCATGGGAAAGGAGAAGTAGCGGATTTGCATATCCTTTTTCATTTCTTTCTCAATCAATCTACGAGCTGGGTATCGTTTTAGCATAAGGGTGCACGAAATACAGATATCATATGAGTGACGAATACTAGATTACATTTACAAGTAACTTTGTCTTTGTCTTTTTACTCTCTTTGGGTTTTTCTACCAAGGTGCAATTGCGACAGTACAACACAATTATTGCTATAGTGATGATGATGATGATGATGATGATGATGTCGATGAATGATATATATGTATGTATTAAACTAACTAGACTATAACCAACACAATCCCAAATTATGTAAATTCAAATCCAAATCCAAATTTCAACCCAAACCCAAACCCAAATCAAATTCCAAATATACTCACTCACTCACTTACTTACTCGACTAACTTTATTTATCCTCTGTAATCTGGATACCTATGTGTACCTATGTATGTGTGTATATATACCAAACAAGCCAGCCGGCCATACATTGATACATTGATACATTGATGCATTGATGCATTGATACACAGATACATAGATACATAACCCACCCAGCCACCAAAAGCGATCGCGCGATTAAAAACTATTAAATAGTAATGATGAAAGGATATTTACAATTACTCTCTCTCTCTCTCTCTCTCTCTCTCTCTCTCTCTCTTTCCCGTTCGTCTCTTTCCTATTCCTCTCCCTCTCACTCCTGTTACGCTATTTATTTCCTTTCTGTTATCCATATCCAAACTATGACAATTTTCCCTTTACGTAATTAATAATTCTATCATTCAATTTCATTCTTCCTTTTCTTCTCTTCTCTCTTCTCTCTTCCCTTCCCTTTTCTCCCCTCACAGAATCCCAAATTCCCTCTCCCACTCTCTTCTACTCCTTTCCTCCTCCTCTCTTCTCGCCCTCTCGCCCTTCTCCAACGTCTCCAGCTCGGGGAGTATCAATTTCTTCAACAGGGTTTCCGTTTCCGAGGGCGAGGGCGAGGGCAACGGCTGGGTGAGATACGCTGCTTGAGGGATTTGGGTGGAGAGTCTACCTCTCTCGCCTCTTTCCCACTCTTGTAGATGTCGCGGGGGTTGGGGGTTGGAATTTGAGTTTGAGCGGGAGAGGGGGAGGGAGTGGGGGAAGGCGGGGAGTTCGGCGGGGTAGAAAGGAGGGGATTGGTGGGTGGAGGAGTGGGGGGCGGTGGTGAAGGTGAAGGAGTGTTTGGGGTTGGAGGTGGGGTCGACAGCGGAGAGGGGCGCGTGTTGGTGTTGGTGTTGGTTGTAGGTTGAGGGGCCGAAGACGGGTGCGAGAGAGGGGATAGGGTGGCTGGTGAGTGGATGGCTAGTGAGTGGATGGCTGTTCAGAGGATGGCTCGTGATGGGGACATTGTGGATGCTGCGAGCAGCAGATGTGGTCATGGGGACGTTGTGGATACTCCGCGCTGTGTCGTCTAGAGAGTGGTAAGATGAGCCAGTATTGATTCTTTGGAGAGTGGGTGTTGAAAGGGATTGTTCGAATTGCGCAAATTGGGAGTAAGGGTTGTTAGGATTGTGGTTTCCGTTGAAGCGAGAATGCTGGTAAGGTGGTGAAGGGGCTCTAGCAAGAGGAGTTGGAATTGTGGGAGTAGATAAAGGACGTTCGCGATCTTCTGGCAGTGGTGGGAATTGACTGTAGACATTGTGATTACTGGTTGAGGAGCCTGAGGGTAGACTGTGGGGTGACTCGCCGCGTGAAAAGTCTAATGACATGCGTGGATCGCGCGAGTAATCTAGTGAGGTACGAGGTGGGAAGATAGTGCCAAAGGAACCTTCAGAGTGAGACCATGGGTTGTTAGGGCTGGATGGGAGCGTACTATTATTGAGGCTCGATCGAGGTATAGCAGTTGGTAGGGAAGACATTGAGGGTGTCACATCTCGATTGGCAAACTTAAATCCTTTCCAAGTCTGATTATCAATTTCATGAGGTAAGATTCTCATCTCATGTTTGTCCTCTGCTTCTGGTGATAAATCAAGAGGTGGGGTGGGAACAGGGTCTAAAGGAATATCCTGGGCTTTGCCTTTGTTCTTCTGCGAATAGGATGACGATGGTAACTGTTCCCGGGGCATTTCCTCTCGTTGATGGCTGGGTGGCTTTCTTTCCATCCACCAAAGACCTCTATCACTCTTCTGTTTTGCAAGAGGTGCATTTGAGTTTATCTCACCTTCCTTCTGCTGATCAACGTGTGATGACTTCTGTGTCTTGCCATTGGTTTCCTTTACCTCTTTCGCCGGAGCGTCATCAGTTTTTGGAACAGAGTGTTGTCTGTGATGTCCTTTTTCCAATTTTTCCTTCACTGGAGATTCATCACGACTTGGAAGTAGCTCTTGATTTGTACTCTCATTCATCTTCGATTTCTCGTGCCTTTGACCCTTGGTGCTTTTATGGCTCTTATGACTTTTATGAGACTCCGTTCGCTTAAGTCCCTCGAGC